TAGCGATATATCTAAACACCATGATTGCAAGCCATTACAATGTTCACATGGACTATAGTGTGTCGCATTGCGCTGCCGGTGACCTACTAGGTCATGCTTGAAGTTTTATTGTAATTGGAACAGGTTTTGGCTGCAGTTGAACAATGCAGGTTCAGAGTTATGGCCTTAGTTTTGGTATAGACTTTTGAAAATATATTCCGAAATAAATTCCGACAGAAATGGGTAGCTTGTTTTTCCAAGGTTCCGTAATTCACAGTTGAAAATTAATGTTTTCAACTGCATAGTGTGAAAAGTAATATTTCAATGGTCTAACCATGACCCCGCCGTGGGCATCTAAATTCTATACGCGGATTAGCTTGACACTTTTTTTTACACGCTATATAATAGCTTCACGTGTATGTTTGTTTGTAACCGACTCCTTTGGGCGTGATTTTGACCGACTTTAAACGGTCAGAATTCGTTCAAACTTTGTAAATATATCGAGGACCGATGACAATACACTAATTTAAACATAAAAAAAAAAATAAAAAAAATAATGAATTTGAGAAAAAGCGTTGGGTGCCTGTTGTCAATAGAAAAAGCACCCCACGCTTTTTTTTTTCAAATTTATTAAAATTTATTTTCTATTTTTTAGTTTGGTTTTCTATAAAAAGCGTGTTTTTTAGTTTTTTAAAACTATTTTTTTTTTAGAAAGACGATTAACCTAAATACAAAAAGTGTATTTTCTGAATCTTAGGTTAGCGAATTAACATGCTTTTCATTGCGAGAACGTTCATCGTGCGTTAGAGGATTAATCTTATCTCGGTTAGATGACTCTAGTATTTGGATCTTGATTTTATCGTAAAGGAAAACATACATAGTGAGGAAAATTACAAGTTTCCTCACTTACCTGAGAGTTCTACACAATGTTTTCGCAAGTCTATGAAGTGCGAAAACCTGTATTAGTTGTGCTAGTGATGGACTCAGGTATAAACAACAAATTTTGTGAACATAATAATTATTATTATTGTAACTAAACTATTTAAGAACTTCACATCACATCAACAGCCTATAATAGTCTACTGCTGGACATAGGCCTCTTTTTAGAAAGGAGGTTTTGGCCTACTATACCACGCTGGCCAGACGGGTTGGTATAGGGTTTGTTTCAAATTTTCCTTAGTTTTGTAGTGCTGCTGTCCTACGCAGTTTGTTCCCTTAGTCGGCTTTTACGACACCCACGGGATGAATAGGGGAGGTGACATTCCGTATTCTTAATCCGTCACCACACGGATTTAAGAACTTAATATTATGTAATTGTAAAGACGATATTGTTGTACATTTTGTATTCACCTGTCATTAGTTATGCAATTAGTTACAAGCGAATAATTTGTGTGTCTCTTGTAATAAATTTTTGTACATAACTGTTGGTGAATTAAATAAATAAATAAACAACAGTGAGAAGGTACCCTTAGTAGCCTTTTACCTCCTGCCTTCCACTCTCTTTGTGGACATTTAATTCTGGCTACTACCTCATAATGTAGTCTATTTCTTTCACAAACAACGCACCCTTTTACAGATATTAAAAGTGCTGGGTATACTTAGTCATAATAATAAAAGTTTTAAATCAATCTCACTAATGCAGTTTGTACTCTATCTAAGCATAGATCTTAACATATCTTCGTTAAGTAAACGAAAATGGATCGAAAAAAAAGCATATTGATAACAATAATCTCTTTATTTCTGGTTAGTTACCTTACCTTTGAACCCTCAAAGTAATATCCCTGAGTAATAACCCTCAAAAGTAAATTAGAATGTCAGACTCAAACCGACTAAAAGGGTCTTTCCTCGGAGCCTCATATACCGGAGCTAACGATGAAATAATATGCCGGAATCGAAACCAATAAAAATACACAATGTTCCGTTAGGAGTATATGCCTTGGTATACTCTTAAGGATGTTAGAACCCCACATATTGCTAGGCCAGCTGTTATGGGGGCTGTTAATCGTTCTGCATTCGCCGCCTCCACCCAGGCAGGCTGTCATTTAAATAATACATCTAGGATGGGGGCATGATTCCTCTTCGCCACCAGCTCAGGCCCGTTATATATTTTTCTCTACACTAAATTCTTTGTCCAAGTTTCTCTGCCAACGACGCCTGACATGACAGGCAAATTATTATGATTAAAGATATCCCACAAATAAAATGCGATATTGGTAAGCTCTACTTTATTCAGGTCACCTTTGTAATGCTCCAAGACGCAAGAGAATGATCGATTAATGGAGTTATGTTACGTGTATATGTTAAGACTTATGATATATTGAATTGATGTGAAGAATACAGAGTGTCACCACATATACCTAACTAGCTGACCCTGCAAACGTTGTTTTGCTATTTACATTATTTAAAAAAAAAATCTTTTATTTTTTAATTTCTTAAAATCCCGGTGAAAAGAATATTCCTACCAAATTTCAAGTCTTTAGCTCTAATGGTTCCAGAGATATCATGATGAGTGACTGTATACGTGGAAATCTCTTATATATATATATATAGATAATATATGCACCCAACAAATGTAAATACCATGGGTCGATATCATATACCGGCCTCAAAAATTCGCCATCCTTTATCGCGATCAATCCCCCTCACTTATAAAATTGGCTGGCGCTATGCGCTTTCAAGAAACTTTTTGCCACTGACAAGAAATATGTGGCATCTTCCAAGACCTAAGAAAAGGCTATTGGACTAAAGTTTCATGAGCGAAGGTAGTCGCTTACCGTACGCTTAGGTACGGTAGATGCTTAGGTGACGTCATCCCATTCGCTTAAAAATATACGTTTTCTATAAAGTTATGAAATCTGGATATTCACTTCTCGTTGTATTTAATGACTAACACTAAGGGTAGATTTTTCTCATGCTTGAAATCGTGGGAATACTTAATAAAGATTTAACCAGCGACTGCACGGATGGCGTAGTGGTTTAAGCGGTCGCCACGCCGCTTCCTACTACGCCGAGTGTTGTGGGTTCAAACCCCACATGGGACGACACTTTGTGTGATCCACAAATTGTTGTTCCGAGTCTGGGTGTTCTTTGTGTCCGTTTCATGTATGTTTGTAAAGTCTCCCGCGACACAGGATATTTTCCTAAATAAAAAAAAAATAGAACCAGACATTCAGTATTATTGAGATAAGATTCAACCCCTAAAATAATTTCTATCCCTCGAGAATAACCCTCCAGAACAATATACATACTGTATCGGAATATATGGTAAAGAAAACAATTTCTGTCTGTTTTACCAAATTGTTCAAGGCGTAATTAACTCCTACGCGCTTCAAAAGTTAGAAAGTTGTTAATAAGAGATTATACAAACATTTCAGCTTTGAAAGCATACGAACGGATAATTTTAATTATTAATTTCTACGCTTTTAGAACCTTTCGTAGGAATAGGTTTGTTTTCCCGAGACTGCGAGCGCTAAATTAGAGGGGTAGTCTTGATTATATGGCCGACCAAGTCAACTGGGTTCATAAAGATTTCCTTTGTAGGGTAGGTACAACTGATCACCTGACTACTTCCACCATAAGTCCCGAAGACCAGATGATTGGCTATGTGGTTTGAGTGACGGATTTAGTCACTTCAAGTTCGATACACGACATTGTCGTTTGCTTGTCCCAGTAAGATGAAACCCATGGGGTTACACGCAATAAAAGTCCTAAAAGTCCATTCGCTATGTTTCTTAAATCCTCTCATCGTCATCATCACCTCTACTCTTAGCTTTAAACTTATTTTTTCTTTTTAACTCCTTAAAGAGAATTAATGATCACAGCATTATATTTTTCCTTGTTGAGAATCGAACCCACGACCTTAGCAGGATGCGTAATCACTAGATCAACAGCCCCCTCGATTTTCTACGGTTAATAACAACAATTAGTAAAAAATCCTAAGTAACTAGTAACATCTTTTTTTTATATCTTAAATATTATACCAACATCAATTAAATAGAAGGCTTTATTACTAAAAATACCTACGTCATAAAGTGACGTTCATTTATTAGTTACATTATATTTAATCCCTATAACTGATGCTCAACGTTATTGTTAGGGTCAACACAGACAGAATAAACCTAAGCACTCCCCACGGCACTGTGACCCTGGTAGTTGTTGTAGAAGCGTTTGTAGCGAGTTCAACATACCATGAAACAAAAACATACTACAGCGCCATCTAACGAAGACACACCGAACTACGGAGTAACTGTTAATCCTGTATCGCGATACGAACAATCATCTCGCCGATTAGCATTTATACTTAACAACTAACTTGCCAACATCAATTGTTGGGCCGCGGTCCGCTAGGCATGATCTCCTCGCTTATTCGCTCACACGTTATATTTTGGAGACTTCCTTTTTATATGCAATGCATACAAGATATTTATATACAGGGTGTAAGAGACGTCGTAACGAATACCTACTGAAATAGTGTTTTCAGACCATTATCTAAGTGGCGTGCAATGGGAGAGGCCTATGTCCAGCAGTGGACTGCGATAGGCTGATGATGATGGTGATGATTCTGTGTCGAAAATTATTGGATGTTTTTGCCGGAAAATTAAACTTTTTATGCAATCAGCTGTCAAAGGTTAAGGACATTTCCCGTAGGTATCGCACAATTGTAATACCTACATGTGTATTCCTGGCAAACAGTCTATGCACACTTACACAAGTTGGCGGCCTGAGGGGAGTTTGGTTAATTATATTGCAATTTTTGACCATGTGCTGTATTTATTAAATTGTTTTCGGTAAAATGTTCTGTTTACTCATTGTCATATCATTTTTCATGATTTTTAACCAAAAAAATTGAATAAAATGTTATGAATTTGACGGCAGACAATTCCAATTATTTTTGACCCATAATCATGATCTGAATACACTATTTCAGTATTATTTTTTATTATTTTTTGTTTTTATTGTAAAATATTGTACGATACTTATTGTCCTAAAGCTCTTATTCAAATTTTATATTTCTGTTGCAGGGGAACGTCGTCGAGGGGCTGCGGGCCGAGCAGCGGCGCTCCGCAGGGCTCCTTCCGACTCGGATTGCTCCGGCGAGACGGCGTCGCTCTCCGCAGACAGCGGGGACCGAGCGCCCCGACCGCTGCCACAGCTGCCAAGCAGGGGCAAGACTAGAAGGTAACGAATAGCTCGCAATTACCATATAGACATATTACACTTTTTATCTTTACATAGTTTAATCTTAGATCTATTAAACTACGCAACGGTTTTAATGCGGTTTTCAACAATTTAAGAGAACGGTTTCTATGTATGATAGGTACATGCGTATTATAGTAGAGAAAAAACCGATAATTTCAACGTTTTGTACCCGTGCGAAGCCGGGGCAGGTCGCTAGTATAAATAAATAAAACAAAGACGGGCTAGTTACACCATATATAACTTAAACACGAATGTATCGGTACATTTTTTATAATGTTTGATTTTTTTGGATTTGTCAACTCCTCGAATAGAATAACTATGAAAATATTTTAAATATTCATTTTTACATACATTGTGTATGATGAAGAACAGAGCTGTTCCTAAAAACTGCAGGGCACTACTAGCTTAGAATAAATAAGACCACAACGAGTTATATAAGTTACCTATTGATCTAAAAAGGAGGTTTTATATTTTGCAGTCGGCGCCGAGGTAGTGAATGGGAAGTTCTGGAAGGACTCAAAGATGGTCAGAGGTTTGAGAAGCGGCCGGACGTCTTCAACGGGTACCTTCATAAGAAAAGAAAATGGCCTCTAAAGGGGTGGCATAAGGTATGTTGGAACTAAGTCCCATGGAAATCTCCCCATTCTTCTCCTCGAGTAAATAAAAAAAGTTTATTGACACACTAAGTAAATGCTAATAATAATTAAGAATAATATATAGACTATGTATATGTGTCAGCGTGGTCGTGTGTCATTTGTGCATGTGTGTGTATGTGTGTGTGTGTGTTTGTTTGTGTGTGTAGTATCAGATTTCTTAGCTGTACAAGTCATGAAAGAAAAAATTAAAATAAAACAAGAACAAATAAAAAAATAGATGAATAAAATTAAGTTGTATATACTGTAACTTGCAATCTTTGACTTAGTTTAATATAAAAAATAAATCTATGATAAAAATCGTGTGCCAGATATTCGGTGAAATAGTTTCTGGCTCGACCCCAACTGGCACTGACGTGAACCCTAGCACCAAGCATTTATGACCCACGATGCTGTTATCCTTTTATTTGAAACAATATTGCTTTAATCAAATCAAGTTCCTCCTTCAATTCTTTAATCTCATCTTCCCCTCCCCTTATTTTCTCTACTTACACCATTTCTCTGAGGATATCCTTATACCTTTTTTAAATCTCTCTTTCACAGTCTATATCTATCTCTGGCTCTTTCTTAGGGTTCCGTACTTCAAAAGGTAAAAAAGGAACCCTTATAGGATCATTTTCTTGTCCGTCTGTCCGTGTGTCACCACCGATTTTCTCAGGAACGGGTAGACCTAGCAAGTTGAAATTTATACCAGATACTGAAGTCTATGGCCCTATTAGGTGTATAACAATCAAGGTCAACACGATAAAAAGATATGGGCAAATTTCGATTTTCCCGAAAACTTGTAAGTAAAAGAAACGGCTTACAGCACAAATAAAGGAATAATTCTAAAAAATAAAAAAAGTTGAAAATTATGAAAAATTTTGGTACTTACAAATTTTCGCGAAAGTCTACGTAAAATCTGGGAAGGAACGGAACCCTCGGCGCACGAGTTCGACTCGTACCTGACCGGTTTTTTTTATTTCGAACAATAAATAAACTTAAGTAATATTTTCCGAATGTTTATTTCATTGTCTCCAATAGTTTAAAGAAAAGCTATAAATGACTAGTAATTTTCCTGTTTCAGCGATTTTTCGTAGTAGACGGTGGTATATTAGTGTACGCGCGCTCGCCGACAGATGTCGCCCGCGGTCGCCTCCACGGCTCCGTGGACGTCGGACTCTCCGTCATATCAGCCAAGGCGAGGCGCCGGCGCATCGACATTGACGCTGATGAGTTCATATACCACCTGCGAGCAAAGACCCCGGAGGTGTTCAGAACTTGGCTCAATGTTTTGAAGACGCATCGGTGAGTTTACTGTGAATAATGGCAAGGCTAGGTTTATGTGTCCATGGGCAGCGGTAATCACTTGCCATAGGTGACTCGTCTACTGGTTTAAGCCTTTACCATAAAGGTTTTTTTTTATAATAAACTTTATTTATCGTAACAGTACAGATAGTGTATGAAGTCTCTGATTTCTGTGCTAGGTAAACCTGTATTACAAAAGCAAGTGCCCTCTCCCATTATAGTAACATACATTTTGTTTTATGAAATAAAGTCACAGACAATATTAATTTAGACTAATAAAAAGGGTAGAAATAAAGAGTGGGTAGGGATAATATAATGTTCAGATAATATCAAGGTCTATCGCGTATATCGTTTTGAAGTTTAATAAAAAATGCTGAATTTACTTGACAGTCCAGTATAATACAGGACATGGGCCTCTCCTTAGAAAGGAGGTTTTGGCTTACCTCAAACTCTCTCTAGTGTTTCTGGCCATCGATTGTTTTTAAACTAATCTGATTTGCTACCTTAAACGCTCCCCCCTACATGTAAAGCTCATGTATGGTGGAGATTGCTGGGTGTAAGGTATTCCTCTGACACGCTCGAGTAAATCCTGAAATCCCTTCTAGGGCTCTCCTATTATCATGCACATTCTACATAATCAACAATCTCGTGACACAATTTGAATATTTTATTTCTTTAATATTAATTATTATTGCTCTTTTCGTACACTTCTTTTTAAAGGTTGTACCGACAACATCTTCTGACCTTCGGTGCGCGGGAGTCGGTTCCGAAGATCCACGCGCCGTTAGATGATCTACCACCTACAGACACTTCATCACGTAAGTTCCAAAAATAAAATAAATAGTAAGCATGCCTTTTTATTAGAAATAGATTTTCTTTTGTATAGGGTGGGTAGTTAGATTTTTTTTTTTTCGCACTTAATGATAGAATACTCAGGGAAATCTTATATAGGATAAAAGTAGGAAAATAACGCACAGTCTACTTACTTTAAGAGGCTAAACATACAGAATGTTTAACAAAGACGATTTCAAATTACATTAGAACAACGACATCTATCGAACACAAACTGAACTAAGCGGTAACCACTGATCTCATATCGCACAAAGCAATTTCTCACACTCAGAACATGGACAATATCAGACCATCAATTGTCACGTCATAAGCTTATTGTATTGAAGAAACGTCGTAATATTGACTTCCAATTGTTGAAAAACATTGGGTTTGTGAAAAAGATAAACTTACTGTTACTGAGAATAAGAATCCTGAAACTACTTTTAATTTTCCTGAAGTTAAACTAATTCGATTTAATTCCATTCAGGTATAATAATACAAGTAAATGATAAAGTTTATGACCTAGCCCTACATCAATATACGAATTATGTAATACATATATGTTGTACAAAGTCAAACCAGGAACCAGTTGCAAAAATCCTTTTTAAACCTCCTTTATATTAATCCCATATCCCTTTTCCTCTCCATCCTAAAGGTACTAGTTCCCATTCATCAGAATCCAGCTCTACATACGAATATGAAAATCATACTATTCTACCTAGTGATTCGACTTCTGGAAGCAAAATAACTTTAAACGAACAAGTCGATTATCTCTGCTCCGGTAAAACGTGCGAAAATCATATCAGTCTGTGTTCTATGAACTGTGTGTCAAGAAGATTTGATAAACGTGACTTAGAAAAGCGAAAATCTCCAATTATCAATCAACAGAAATCTGTCAATATCTCCCTAGGAAGCACTTTAGCTGAATCACAATTACACAGCACTTACTTGGATGGCAATTCTTTAAAATACGCTAACCTTTCCACTTTAAGTGATTCTCGAGAAACTTCGGATGCCTTAAAAAGAACATCCCAGCCAAACCAACTAGTAACTAACCAACAATTGTTCGACAATATGGTCGAAGATTTACAAGCAGTAGAAGATCATCGAGATTCTACGTCTGCATTAAAAAATACATCTCAGTCAAACCAATTAAAAGTGAAACCATCAAAACCAACCAACAACAAGGTTAATGAAACACAAGCATATTACTTCTTCACCAAAAAAAAATCTCGTTGCATGAGCCCGGTCAACTCTATGAGAAGGAGCAAAAAATCAACAAATTTAGTCAAATATAGAAATGTTTTTGACGAGCCCGCCTTAAAAAAACCTATAAGCAAATGTATGCTACTTGGAAACAAACCAGTAAATTATCATCGAGTTATAAGTCATGAAGTTGCCTGCTCCACACAACTTGATAAAGAAAGCAATGAAATTCAAGTTGCTGTATGTACGCAGCAAAAGAAAAATAAAACCTTCCAAGATGTTATGACTACATCAGACTGCGACCAAATTACTCAAAGACTTATAATGTCATTAATAAAAAGTAAGAACAGAGATTTCGAAGCAGAAGAATATATACAATTGGTTATAAAAGAGTTATACGAATTAAAATTAGATCATGATCATCCAGTAAAACAGCTTTTCAGAAGTCTATTAGAGTACTGGTTAAAGAATACATCCTTAGGTTCTGCCAATAACCAAATGAGACGTACACAGTCGATAAGTAGACAGTCTAATGACTACTTTACTAAGGATCAGATGATCTCAAATGATTTAATTGATACGGACACCAAACAGACCCAATTTCACGGCATAAGTGTTACTCTTAAAGACAAACCTCCTGTTTTAAAGAAACCTGTTAGTAAAATGACTAGAACAGATCAAAGGCAATGCCCAGTTGATTGTCCAAGTCCAAAACGTGATACAGAAAGCTTTGAAAAGGAACGAAGAATCCAAGAGTTAGAAACTTTGCTTAAAAATACAGTGTACATAGTTAAGACCACAGCGAATAAACATAGTAAGGACAAAGATATTAAAATAACGAAAACTTTGATAGATAACATTGGGAAAATTTCACGGCATTCTGATGAACTTAAAAAAGACTTTTCTAGTTCTTCTACTGAAAAAATTCAAGACTCCATCAACCATCTTATCAGCGAAACATCTATTTCTGCTGATATTGCTAAGGGACTTCTAAGCGTCTACTTAGATGTTTTGCTTCACGATGATAGCAGTTTGACCAACACTAGTTCTCGGTCTAGTTCTGTCGTCATGAAACTTGAGCCTAAATGTGAAGTTCAAACTGAATCCGTAATAAAGAAAGTTTCAAAGAGTGTTACCAACTTGAAAACAGAAAATAATAAATCTAATGAAAATGTTGATCCGGGTCAGTTATATTTGAAGGATATTCTTGACAAAGTGACAACTATATTCTCGAGGGCAAAGAAAGTGGGTGCTAAAAGTTGGGACAGTGACAAGTCGCAAACAGAATCCCAAGATGGTTGCGTGACAAATGAGAAGCAAGAAGTTGAGTTAGGCATGCCCGTCAAAGAGTTTCTTGGAAAGAAATTAATATACGAAATTATTGATGAAAAATCAATTGTTATTGACCTTTCAAAGTATGATTTAGAACACATTTCTATGGTAAGCGATCCTGTAGTAAAAGGACTCATGTCAATTACTATAAAGCTAAAAGAAAAACCGCAGGACATTGGCGAGTTGAGTCGGAGGCGCTTAAAACTAGAATTTTCAGAGTCCAGGCGCTTAGACAATGACATTGCCAAAGATAAATATCTGAGATATGTACCACCGAATACCAAAACTTCTGACGAGCTATTTAATAAAGAATCAAAACGAAGATCTTTCCTTGAACTCCCTAAAGAATTTGATCTGAAACCATACTTAAGCAGTACTGATAAAGCTAACAAGAGTTTCCGAGTGACGCATGAAAGTGAACATTCTTTAGGTCTTTCATTCGATAGCAGTAATGCTTACCATAGAGAATACTTTGACAATGATGACCAACAGTCTTGTTATATAATGTCTTTCAGAAAAGATACTTTAGCTAAATTTCAGCCTAAGAAAAAAATTCAAGAAAAAGAAAGTAATGGCATATCCTTGAATTCCAAAGTTAAACAATATCAAATATCACCAACATCTGTATTTGAAAAACCAACCCCTAGGGTTATTGATGAAAAATTTATTCTACTCCTGTTGGAAAATTTAACGTTGCTCTCTAAGAATGTGCCGAGTTTGCACAAAGATATTAATTCTTTATACTTAAAGTTGAAAAAGAAACATGAGAAGGTTATGAAAGCTTGCGGAAATTGCCAAGGCTTAAGTTTTCTGGGTAAAATTTATAATGAAGAGTCCTGTACTTCAAACATTAAGGAGGTAGCAACGCAATATTCTTATAATCCAACGAACGCCAGTGAAGATGATACCCGAGATATCACAACGAACACGGTCACTGTTAAATTCGCTGACAACAAACGTGTACTCGATAAAAGATTAAGTGCAGTAGACTTCAAAAATACAGCATATGCTGGATCACAGACTTTAGATAACTTTGAAAAATGGACGGATAGTGAAATCATTCCAAAGAACTTTAAAAACCAAGCAACAGATATTTATGAAACGAATTTAAATAAAGTAGAAGTTGAACGTGCTCTCCCGCATCCAAATCGATTTAAACCCATCTCTACTCAAGAGCGTTCTACAGCTATCAAAAAGATCTTGGACTCTGCAGCAACACACAACTACCATTTCCAAGCAGACAATAACTATGACCGAGGTAACAAAAGAGAAAAACTGATCTCGAAAGTCAGACAAGAAAAGGATAAGGAAATCTCAATTTTACCACCTTTACTTAAAGTATCCAATCAATCGCAGACCGACAAAGTGTACCTAAAACTTTTAAAGGACAGATTACCGCAAAAGGAGATAAAAGTGTACTATTTGTATGTCAGTAAAAAATTTGGTGATGCGAAGTCTATTTCGATGTCGGAGTCTAATATGGATGTGAAACAGAGTGATGAATTGAAGACATTGTATCGGTGTACCAGTGAACCTTCTTTTTACTCTGGTTAGATGGTTTTCATAACATTAGTGGTATCTATTCAAAAATAATTATATATTTGCTGCCTTTCCATATTAGTGTGTATGTATTAATCTGGTGCGTAATGCTGAACATATTTAATAATCCCTAACAGCCTTAGAAGTATACAAATATGTATGTAAATATAAGTAATCAGTATTATATAAAAGTTTGGCATAATGTATGCTGAAGACTAAAGAGTAATGCAAAACTCCCTACCTACTTAATTCTATTTAGTTTTTTGAACTTAGCCTAGAGTTAGATTCAGTAAATAGGAATAACAAGATATTTAGTTGAGTATAAAGAACTAGTGTGTAGATAATGCAGTCATGGTTATTACATCAATGCGAATAACTGGCCCCTAGTTTAATGCATGAGTTTATATAGATTTTATAGTGTTCTGAATAATTAACAACATCATGTGAATTAAAAAAAAAATCAAGCTAATCATTATATTTCATAGTTCAACGCTTGTCTTGTCTATACTGTATCAGAATAGATACAGATATCTATTATAATTAGTGAAAGTAGAGGAAAATTAAACGCGACTCCTATAAGATTTCATTTAAAACAATAAAATGAGGCAATAAAAGATTAATGAACTTTAGAACTGATAGCAGATTGAACATAACATTATACAGATTACCAGCATCCCAATTTAAGAAAAGTAACAACACGAAAACGCTCTTATCACTAAATATGATGGTGTTTTTTACTGTAAAGAATTTTGGCTGTCAGCAATAACGACACATCTGAGAATGCCAACTATAAGTAGCATTTTTGAAAAGGCCACCTATAAGTAGCATTTCTGAGTAGGCCACCCATAAGTGGCATTTCCGAGTAAGCCACCTGTAAGTGGCATTTCGGTTTACGTATATTTGTGTGCTTGAATCACTTAGAGAGTCAAATATAAGGTTTTTTAAACAAGTAAGCCATTTTAATTTTGTTCGATTTTTATGATACTTTCTTCTACGTTCCTTAATTATAATTTATAACATCGATTTATTTGAAATAAATCTGTAGCAAGACTTGCTCGTTGACATAATTGATGTTCTTAATTATTCAAAGTAGAGTATTCGATCGCCCACTTTCCTTCTTAATTTCATGCAAGTGTGTGAGTTTCAAGATTTTGGAATATATTGGAGAATTGACGTGCCGACCGACTTGTGGAACGATAAGTTTAATGTTTTGTTTTAATTTTACTAATTATTGGCTAATACTGAGACAAAGCTGAATATAGATCTAAATTTTTATTTTTTGAAATTAATTCATTTATTAATTTTAATTCTTAAATAAATAAAGCAATGAGTTATTTCCATAGATTTGGCTTTAAACGCCAACTATTTGAATTGTTGTGAATGGCCAATATATTCCAAAATTCTGCAATATCCCTATCCCCCACATTGACATATTTCTCCATAGGGCTGTTAAGCCCGACGGCGCCATCGTTAAGAGGCCCCCAGGCTGGCTTCGTGTCCGGCACCCCTGGTGGACGACTGGCTGGTTGGATCATAGGTAAGGAACCTTCAATTACAGGATCAACTGAGACACTCGAAAAAATATTTATTACTGACCCTCGACACAAACCCATTTAATGGTTTTTATACGTGCAAAAAATCATATTTAATCAGCTTAGTGTTTTAAACAACATTTGTTTAGTTATGGTTTGCTTACAGTCGTAACATTATTACTTCAGTAGAATTTAGGTTATTGTAACAGACAACACATCGTCTTAGATTAAGAATAGTAAAAACAGGCTAACATGTTATATTTAATTGTTGTAAAATCGACGCGATCATCCAAAGGCTTCCACACTGGATGCATAGACAATTTCAATTTAGAAAACTTTACGTGTTGTTGACATAAACTTAAAGAGAATTTAAGATCTCGTCACTTTAACAGACCACTTTTCTTGATTAATAACTTTAATTAAAAAATGCGTAAATAGTTGTTTTGATCGTTAATTAATTAATTGTAATTTTCTCGTGCTAGTGCTCTGTGCGGGTAGTATATTTTTCACACTAGGTATTGTAATGCAGCATACTTCTGCACGTGCAACAAAAAACTATCACATTCTAATAAAATATATTCTTCTCTTTAAACACATTTCTTTCTTTCCAGTCACTTCCTATATGTACATAATAGAGATTATAAGTCTTCAGACAGTTGTAGCATATACTAGACGATTCACGCAGATTAGCACTATTGAGTATTCAACAAATTTTTTTGTTTTGTTCTACAATACGTATGTTTGTAACTGAAGGGTTTTTGATACGGTGGAAAATACTAATACCTCAAAACACCAATTGACCAACACGTTTTCCCGTAAACTGTATTGTTTTTATTAATAAATAAACAACTCTGTTTAAGTATCTAATTAACATACAAATACTAGTCATGACGAATACACGGCGACCTAATATATGCAAATTATTGCTCGGTTGATAGAATCCGGTGGGCCTCTTGAGAATACGTCTCGAGAGTTAGGCCAAGCGCAACTGTCAGTGCAACAACTGCAACGATTGCTGGACGCCTTGGAGTTGCAGCAACAACTTCATCACGACACAGATGTAAGTAAACTCTCGGATGAATATTCCTTGAAAAAAAAACAATAGTCTTGCCTCCTTTTTCATAAATTAAATGCCCTATGTAGTATACACATAGAAGCAGGCAATCGGTAATATATACTTTTAAAACACTGACCGTGGTCACAGGCTGAATGAAATAAATAAATAAATAAATGTGGTTATGACTATTTTTTTTATTATTAACAGTGGCAGCTACTCTTTGCTGTCTCCGATTTTTCATCATCACAACTGAGAAATCTCCTAAAGAAGTCACCTTAAAAAAATCCAAATCGGATCATCCGTTCCGGACTTTCCGGAGTATATTACAACTTGTGTCACACAGTTTATCTGTTTTAACACCCACTTGTTCTTTTCGAAGGTTAATGACTTAAACGAGAGTACTTATAAACTTTAATCAAGCGTCTGCTGTCCGTGTAGTGACGGATTAAGAATACGGAATGTCACTGACCCAATTCATCCCGTGGGTGTCGTAAGAGCCGACTAAGGGCGCAAAACAACGCAGGACACCAGCACTGCAAAGAGAAGGAAAACTTGACACAAACCCTATACCAATCCGTCTAATGCCAGCGTGATATAGTAGGCCAAAACCTCCTTTCTAAGGAGAGGCCTATGTCCAGCGGTGGACTATTAAAGGCTGGTGATGTGATGTGAAGCGTCTGCCTGTAACTTTTTTTTTTTTTATTTGAAAAAAGGATTTGTGGATCACACAAAGTGTCGTCCCATGTGGGGTTTGAACCCACAACACTCGGCGTAGTAGGAAGCGGCGTGGCGACCGCTTAAACCACTACGCCATCCGTGCAGTCTGTGTATGTAACCCTGCAACGGTTACTATTTTCATTTTTATGCCTCAGTCATAATACTTTACTTCGTCTAACTACTTACTTTACTTTTCTCTTTACTTTTTGTATGTTCAGGTATCTTTGGATGGCGCTTCTCCCAGCGTAAAGAAGGATCGTCGTAAATTCGGTCTGCGCAAGAAGAAGTCCAACAGCAAGTGTTCTTCTGTGGAGCTACAACCGCCGCACATAGACCCATCTAGTTCACATATGGTAAGTGCTCGAAACAATCAGTACAATATAAACCCAGACTCGATGCTGGAAAACTTTCTAAGTGTTAACACACACTTAGTTGTACAAACCTTCTAGGTACGAAAGGAAAAAAGTACTTACTGCAAACCCGGTCACAAATCACATGGTCATAAACTCGTTTCGATAAAAGAGCAATTGAATAGCACGGTGTTCATGAATCTAATATAGAAATTATTAATTGAAGTATTATATTAGGTATTATTGTTATGATTCTTTATGTCACTCCTCCACATTCACACGTACACTCATCCATACACACGCACACAACCCTCTCTTTCACACGCACATATACACTCACTCACGCACACTCACTGCCAATTGCAAAAGCCTCCTTGAACACTGATTCTCATAACTATTAAGATACTAGGTTCATTTTAATTATTATTTCATTTTATTTCAATAACTAACCAATTAGTTTTAATCGTATATTTATTCAACGGTTGTGGCCACAAAATGTCTTTCTAATGTTCTGTGGTAAAATTGTTTGTCTGTGGAAGCATTGTGTGTATTACCAAACTGTGACATAAAAGAGTTGCTGGTACTTATAGCACATGGTTTCCTTTTTATTTTTATTTGCACATGGTGATTTTGACTGACTTTAAACGGTCAGAATTCGTTCAAACTTTGTAGATATATCGAGGACCGATGACAATACACTAATTTAAAATATATATATATATATATATATATAGTTTTAAAAAACTAAAAAACACGTTTTCTATAGAAAGCCAAAATGCTTTTTTAGTTTTTTAAAACTATAAATATAATTTTTAAATATCATCAGTGCATTATTTGTAATTACTGTAATATAACAAACATTAAATTATGTTTGTAAACTTTAATTGTGAACAATAAATACATTATCATTATTATTTACGTTTACTCATTTTCATCCATCATTCGATTCATGAATCATATATATCATATATCTGCTCATAAGAAGACGTTTTAATGATTTATGATCGAGTCAGCTGGGGTAAATAATAAGTACTCTGGGTATATGATATCCTATATACAGGGTGTAAGGGACATCGTATCGAATACTGAAATAGTGTATTCAGACCAACATTCTGCGTCTAAAATTTTTGGAATTTTCTTCTGGTAAATTCATTAATTTGTTTATAATTTCCATTTTTTTGGTTAAATATGATAGTAATGCATGTATATGCTATATTTTTTTATTTCTATGCATCTTCTATGTTTGGCTCTGCATCGCCCTTAGGTTGACTATTAAAAAAATCCTACGTCATTTATTCCACCTTTGGAACATAAAGATTAAATAAATACCAAGGTGAGATGTCAAATGTTCCACATTACGAGTATATTCAACTACTGTAAGGCTCGCTCGTTTATTTACAATATTTAATTTTGCACCTAGGCTCTGTCAGCATTAACAGCGCCCCCATCTCCTGGCGGTGGCTCCTCGTCTATGCCCAACTCAGCCGCCTCTCTGCCTATTGGTAAGTTAATTTATATGTGGTTTTTATTATTTTGTGCATAGTATATCTGTCGAGTGTTAGAAGGCTTTATCATGCTAAAAGGACATGCGATAAAATATAGCCACCATAAGATTTCACATAGAAAAACTGTGTTATGTGTTAGTTTATGTACACAAGGCAAACGAAATACCTGGCCCTTAATTCTGCTATTTTATGTTAACGTACAAGCCACTGTCATTCCATTGACACGCTATTGAGATGCCGTTGAGGTCGTTGAAAATATCGGTATTGTACTAATATAAATTCAAAGTGTCACTAGAATGTCGAGTACGAAATTGAGAGTAAAAAACTCAGAAAATTTTTAAAACAATCATAATTTGAAAATCTATGAGTTAAGAAATTAGTTATTTACAATTCTAGTTTTGTCTACTTGACTAGGTTTATCGTTTGCAGTGTGTACATTTGGTGTTATATTGTTTTAATATTTAAAATTATATACATAGTGTTTTAAAAATAATTTGTTCGCTCAATCTGGATGCTGCTAGTGATTATTATATATAATTCATAAATTGAAAATTGTTAGCGTAATAAGTAGGTATCGAATCCATAGCTTCCAATTTGCGATCCGGACTTGGACTCGCAGTCATCCCATTTAAAATGAGATTTAATTAACTTGCTATATTTTTTACTGGTTTATTGGGTATAACTGGTGTAGGGGGTATAACTGATGTAGGGGGTATAACTGGTGTATGGGGTATAACTCGTGAATGGGGTATAACTCGTGTATGGGGTATAACTGGTGGATGGGATATAACTGGTGAATGGGATATAACTGGTGGATGGGATATAACTGGTGTATGGGGTATAAAGGGCCAATAAGTACATCTTCCGTAAAACATTTAGTGTACGAAGTTATTAAACGAATTAATTAAATTTTGCATTTACTAAAATAAACATCAGCAATTTTTGCGACCTTCAATATGTACAGTTTTACTTATAAGAACCCTTTAAATAATATTTCTATGTATCTGCATTTGGTCAGAAATGGACGACGCACAGTGCGAACATGACCATAGCTGGTGTAAATCGGATGATAGTTAAAAAATTAATGGGAACTATTTTTCTGATCTACTTTTTTAGTACACCTTTACATATTTTAACAGCTTAAGTGACTGAATATTTTATTTTTAGGACACCCAACCTCCCTCCTTGTTCCTTAGAAAAGAGAAGAAAAGAATTAAGTGTTTTATACAAATGTATATGTCCATAAACAATCATGTTTTTTTTATTTGTTTTAGTTAATAGTCATAATAAACGTTTATTTATAAAAAAAATATATTTAATAATTATTTTTTGTATTTTGCAAGGATTCTATGAAATCGGTAAGTATTTTATGCGCTGTCTGAGCATGACTGTTATAAAAAAAAAAAACAAAATGGCGCTCAGTACAAGTACACGGAGCTAGGCATGTTTCAGGCCCATGTAGCTTGGACGCTTAGCTAAAGCATGAGTTACATAATCACATACAGACCATATCAGACCATATTCTGTCCATGAGTTTATCAAAAATGACAATGAACTGCTTCTTTGTGGTCAGGATATATAGAATAGGTATTTTTTTTTTAATCCAAAGAAGCTGACAACATGGTCCTTTGAGTATACTCAAAGGACCATGTTGTCAGCTTACTACCCCACTACCACTTCTATATTTACGCACACATACGGTATAATGCCACTGTGTTCTTTTTTACAATGAAGATATCTTAAATACCGATTTAAACTAATTATTTCAGCAAAGATTTTCGGTGAATGATATTATACGGACAAATTAGGGAGTGCATCGTAGCGAGCATCTTAGTGGAATATCTTAGCCTATCAATGATTTAGTACATGTATGTGAATGCTTTCTCAATTTGGGGAAGCAGGATCGAGTTTATCATGCTTGTAGATATAATCCACGAAAATACGAAAGTGAAAAAAAAAAAACACAATTATGAATATTTTTTTCACTTTCGTATTTCCGTACGTCGTATACGGACATACATATGTTTGTATTTTATCTATCAATGTGCTAAATTCTCACTTTGAATAATAAACCTCCTTTCGCTTATATAAAATGACATTTTTCACTTGTCATACGCTATTTGTCATATGTCATAATTATGTTATTTTTTTGTGTCTTATTATTTAGCCCTTAACGACTAACTGTCGTCCCAAGATCACGCTTATAGGCATTAACTAAGAACAAACTTAGAACGGTGTTTTCACGGTTCTAGATTCTTTATATGATAAAAATTCGAATGTAAGGTTATAGGGGAGAGTAACCAATATTGAACCGGCGCTTAAATTAGACCACTTCTGTATTTCTACTGAAATGGCAGTATTTTTTTACACAAAGAAAAGAGCGTACTCCTTCCTAAAAGGCCGGCAACGCGTTTGTGAATCCTGAGTTGCAGACGTTCATGGGCGATAGTCACTTTCCATCAGGTGACCCGTTTGCTCGTCTACCCCCTCTAACATAAAAAAAAACAGCCATTTTGTGGCGCTTCTTTTTGTACCAATATACTATACCAAATAGTACCATTTTGGTAGAAATTCAGAAGTGGTCCAATTTAAGCGCCGGTTCAATATTGGTTACTCTCCCCTAATATATACGAGGTATAGAAAAAAAAACCTTCAACTAGAATATAAATAAGTACAATAACTGAAGATTTATTTATTTTTTAGAACTAGCTTTATCTCATGGTTCCGCCCGCGTGTAGATATGTCGGTTTGGTCCTTCCTCAATCAACAGAGTATCTCCATGCCAAGTTTCATTAAAATCGGTTCAGCGGTTTAGCCGTGAAAGCGTAACAGGAGAGTTACTGTACGGTGCAACGCCCGTACAAGCTGCTGCGTCAGCAAATTCATATACAGCGCGGATTACACGCGTTATAATATTCAGTTCGCGAGCTAGCCGAATGGGGTAAAGACACGGGCTCCACCAAACGTGCTCCGCGGTCATTGTGTTTCTATTATAATTTTTATTCTATATTACTATCTTTTATTTATTATAGGCTAACAGTTACTTTCCCATTTATAATATTATGGCTACTACCATACTAGGGCTTGGTACATCAACGACTTATTCCCTAACAGATTTAGGAAAAGAACGGGATTGGTGCCAGTTTACATTTAATTTGTCACTTGACAGCAATTACATAAAAGGTTGTAATCAAAATATAACAAACGAGCAGACGGGTCACCTGATGGAAAGCGACTACCGTCGCCCACGAACGCTTGCAACTCAGGAGTCACAAGCGCGTTGCCGGCCTTTGAGGAAGGAGTACGCTCTTTTCTTGAAGGTTTGAAAATCGTATCGGTCCGGCAATACCGCAGACGATAACTTGTTCCACAGATTGGTAGTGCGAGGCAACAAGTGTCTTGAAAAGCGCACAGTGGTGGAGCGCCAATTATCCCAGTGGTGGGGATGAAAATTTTGTACATTATTAGCTTATTTATTTCCAAGTCTTTTTTCACTGAATTCAATTTTCTTTTAAAAAATTCATCATTGCCATGCATTTAAACAAGAAGTAGTTCATTGTAGACCACAAGAAAATTTTGAAAAGAGGTAAAAATGAGATCTCGCATTTTATCTCTTTCATGTTCTATCTGGCCATCTTTACTTGAATGTATCAAATTCATTTATTTTTTTATTTAATTTATCACGGTGCAAAATAATGTTATGAAACGAACGCCTAGTATTAGATGTTCTAACAATCTAATATATTAAAAAGCTTTTGTAAACAGCTAAAGATTTTGGTAAGGAACTGAAAAATAAACTATAAAACTATAGAAGATAAAGCACGCCAGCTACTCAACATAACTAAATATATTTAGATATCGTATGCGCAGCTTTAATAAAACATCTTTATAACTTATTTGAGCTAATTTACCGAAAATTTGCAAAAATACATATCAGAGAGTTGTTAAAACCACCAAAAATATTTCTTCACTAGAAACACGTAGTGTATGCTACTTGAATGCGATTTGTTTCTTTTAGATAATTTAACTTAACAAATAAATCTGAAGTTGTATTTTAATACTTTTGTTATCATATTACTAATCGTAATCCTATTGAAACCATTTTGGAAACTTAATCACAATTATAAGTCAAATGATAAATTGAAATTTTAAGCCAATTCTCATGTTTAGAATTAAAAAGGATAAAACTAATAATTAAATCTCTCACTCTAATTAATATCACTTATCCAATCGTTTGAATTGATTTATTACATTATCTCCTACGATATTGGATAGGGTGTAGACGACCGTGCCCTACACTCGATATGTATCCCGTCTTATTAGAACGTCTAAGGTGATAATAAAATCACTTTAGATTTCAAAATCACGCAAATCTTTCTAGTGACAGCAAAAATGACAAACAATTAAAGTAAAGAAATTACATTACTGAGCGGTAGATTTATGAATAAGTTAAACTGTAGGCCAATTTGCAACTCTATATAATTACATATTGTCCAAAGATTTTGTGAATTAGCTCAAGTACGAGTATATACCGACTATTGGCTATCCATAATAAACAATATAAAATACTTCATAATTAAATTTTATCTTCTGTTTTCCTTACAGCGTTTCTTTCTACATATCTGGCCTCCACTTTAGTTCGTAAGATTTTTTATTTTATCTATTTTCGAACCTTTTATAAATCGCACCTTTATTCATAAACTGAATTAACTTAGAATTTCAATATTGTGGGAAATCGCATTTAAAGTTTGACATTCATGTACGTGCGAGTTTGTCAAAAAGAGAACGACGATCTCTTATCTCTGCCATTTTCATGGTATCAAGTCGGCTGTTAGATTGTTCGTGTTCTACTGATGAAGTTGATTTGGTATTTGTTGAAAACTCGAAAAACGTAAATTTTGAATTAATTCAGTTTATTATTAAAGGTGCGAAATATCCTTTTCAAATATCACAGTCAGTTGTACATAATATCGCTCACGTTGCTTAGAAAATACATTTTAACATGCATGGTGTTAAATCAGAAGCTATATTCATTACATGAGTTTCAGCTATATAATTGTCATAATCCAATGCAATATCATATCTATTATGTAGTAAATAACATTCATATTTGTTTAAATAGCGTTTGACGTCTACATTTCTCATGCTACAGAACATTTGAACTTAAAAGAAATATAAGATTAAGCGAGTGAGTAGATTGAAAGAAAGAGAAAGACACATATGAAAGACACGGAATAGAGCGTGACAAAAATATATTTATCTGAGTGTCTGTACCTCATATTAAATTGCGTACAGTTTTCTAACCTTTTTGCATAAATAATTAAATAATTCGGGTCATGTGTCATTCTTAATATCATTGCAAAGCTATTTAATCTTTAAAATAAGTACTACAAAGTAAACAACGAATTGCTTGCCATACCGTGGATGCCGTAATGGGAAACCAACAATTAAGATACTTTTAATATTACCCAATAATGGAAAAATAAAATAAAATATCCACCCACGAATGTAAGCATTACATTGACTACCCTGATTTTGCCCTACCTTAAAACAAATATACGTAAAGTATTCGCGCTCTCCACTCTGGACAACGCGTTTGCCCCATTGCAAAATATATACGTATGTTTATCAGCGGTCTGGTTACCATAGTACAGGCTCTGCCTAGTTTGGGATCAGACGGCCGTGTGTGAGATGTGTGAGATATTATTATTATTATTGGTCATCATTCCTCAGGTAGATTTACCCACCCTATTGTTACTTCAGCATTCTTGCTAGCTAAGTCGACTAGGGGAGCAAAACAACGCTCTGCTCTCCACTGCAAAGAGAAGGAAAACTTGAAACAAACCCTATACCAACCCGTCTGGCCAGCGTGTTATAGTAGGCCAAAACCTCCTGTCTAAGGAGAAGCCTATGTCCAACAGTAAACTACTGAAGGCTGTTGATGATGATGATGATGATTCTACTAGCTATATCAGTAACTATTCTTTCTCAATCGGCAGACCCCAATACGAATTTAATCCTTCAAGAAACACCAAGCATTCATAGCCCACTCCGTTACCCAATGCACAACTGTAACCCTTTGCACTAATCCTATACAAATCAAATGAACACAAAATTTTCAGATACAACTCGTATTTCTTTAAATCTATACTTAATATTATAAAGCTCAAGAATTTGTTTTGTTGGTTGGTCGAAAGCGCTAATCTCAGGAACTACTGGTTTAAATTGAAAAAGTATTTTAATATTGGGTAGCCCATTTATCGAGGAAGGCTATATGCTAAATAACTTCACGCTACGACCAATAGGTGCCGCACATCAATTCATGTTTATTATATTAGTGAAGAATCCGTATAACCGAGATTATGATAGTATATATCAATCTTAGTACTTACAACATTGTTTATGCATCCTTGAGAGATATAATCAGATACGTATCTGATAGCTAGACTCTAAGATTAACAATGATGCTTGCTAGTACACATGTACCTATGTACCTACCTATATACACATCTTAGAACACGATAAAACTAAATTGAAACCTAAGTCTTACGGATTAAAGTTAAATTTTGTAAAAAATACAATTACGTTACAAGTTATAATGAAAGTTAGAAGGTTAGAAAAAATATATTTAGTTTATCGAATACCTTTTCGCATAAAAGGCGTGTTTATAGGTTAGTTAAATTTTCTAGTCGCGTGTTAAACAAACCCTGTGAACGTCAGACGAACACGGCATCAACGTATTACTGTTTTATATATGTAATAGTTACGTTATTTTAGTATCAGTGAATTATATACCAAGCGTAATTTTTCACCCGTGAAAATTGGTTTTGTGATTTATTCAGTGTTGTAATACGTGTTTAGATATTAAGTGATCTGTTGCTGTGTGAACATTAAAGTATTTCAAAATCTGTTAAGTTAGGAAAAAAGCCGGCATATTTAAGATTGAAATAACAAATATCAAACACCATTTCATGTATGTATTTACCAAAAAAAAAATGTATTTATATCAGTTGTCTAGTAGCCATAGTACAAGCTCTGTTTAGTTTGGGACTAGGTGGCGTTTTGTGGATGTGGTAGAATATGTAATATATTATTATGACTGGCTCGGTGGTGCAGTGGTAGCGTATGCGACTGCTGTGCTGAGGTCTCGGGTTCGATTCGCGGGTCGGACCAAATGTTTGTATGATCTTCAGAGTTTGGGGTCTCGTTTTTTTAAATTAACATTAACTTTTTAAATAAATACACTTTGTCTAGAGGGCTGACTGCCCCGGGCATGTGCTCTTTGGTCCTAGGTATATGACTAATAGTACTGTCAGTCTATGAAATTCGAAATTTAATTCGGTAACTATAAGTATACAAATACATCAAAATCAGGCGATACGTCTCCTCGATTGCAGGAGGCAATACCATAAAAAAACATTGGCATTAACTAAAAATAAACTTAAAATCCGTATATTGATTTACACACTATTAATCCGTATCCGACATATTTTTAACAATCTGAAAATAATTAGTATCTATAAATAAACAACAGATCACGTATATCTAAAGTACTAACTTTCCTAAACACAGTTTTTTTATATTACTAAGTGAAGCGTCCGGACAGTGTTATAAACAAAATGTCAAAAGATAGTGACGGAGTGTTAGTGCCATTTTCAAGACTAGTCTTTCGATACATTGCCAAAGTGCTGATAGAGGAGTTGAGACGATGTAAGTCTTTTTTAAAGTAATAATGGTTCTGTAGTTATTATCACTGAGAATATTTGGATAATAGTTGACTTTTGAAAACAGATAAACGCCATCGCTCCTAGTTTTAGCGGTAAAGCTTAGATGCCGTAAAACCTAGTGTTTTTTAAGATTTTATGTACAGTACTTACCTACTTTATATTTAAAAAAAAGTATAAATGTATTTATATCAGTTGTCTAGTACCCATAGTACAAGCTCTGCTTAGTTCGGGACTAGATGGCGTTGTGTGAATGTGGTAGAATATTATTATTATTTAATATCTTTATGAAAATTGGTTATCATGAATCTTGAGCATAAATATGTTATTAAAAGGCACAAAGAGATATATTTTTATACCACGTCGGTAGTAAACAACAAAACCTGGAAACTGCTATCTTAAAAATCTTCATTGAAGTCTCTGTTAACCTCTATAACCGTACCGTGCAGCCATTTAGAGACCAAGCTGAGAAGAAGCAGGCAGGCATTGCATACCATATTGTCATAAAGACAAACAGACTTCATTGTAGACGACGAAGCCGTGCCTGCCTATAACTCGCATTAAAAAAACCCCTACAATTTTGCTTACCCAAAATCTAGCGCTGCTTTCTTAAAAATCTTCATTGAAGTCTCTGTTAACCTCTATAACCGTACCGTGCAGCCATTTAGAGACCAAGCTGAGAAGAAGCTCTTCCGGCAGGCATTGCATACCATATTGTCATAAAGACAAACAGACTTCATTGTAGACGACGAAGCCGTGCCTGCCTATAACTCGCATTAAAAAAACCCCTACAATTTTGCTTACCCAAAATCTAGCGCTGCTTTCTTAAAAATCTTCATTGAAGTCTCTGTTAACCTCTATAACCGTACCGTGCAGCCATTTAGAGACCAAGCTGAGAAGAAGCTCTTCCGGCAGGCATTGCATACCATATTGTCATAAAGACAAACAGACTTCATTGTAGACTACGAAGCCGTGCCTGCCTATAACTCACATTAAAAAAATCCCTTACAATTTTGCTTACCCAAAATCTAGCGCTGTTAAAAATTCTATAAACCAGAATCCCTCACCTGCCTGCCATTTTCGGAATCTTCATGCCTTATAAGTGCTTTTAGAGAGGTTTTATTCCTCCCTACTCAAAAGAGTCATAGTTCCCGTATCTGTCCACACTGCGGTCTGAGTCGACCATGTCTCCCGCTCCACAAAAGTCCCGTCCCGAAAACGGCTAACCCATTCGTTGCCAATAAGAGACGCACCGCGAAACATGCTAAACAAAAAGAAATATAGCCGAATTAATAACCTCCTCTTTTGTGTTTTTGAAGTTGGTTAAAATGATGAGAATACCATAAACCTAAAGCAGCCCTACATGCATTTTTTTCTACATAAACTGTCAAATGACAAATGCTCAAGCTTCGTAATTTGAATTGAATCTCAAAAAAAAGCCATTGTAAACATTTATAAATATTTAACGTTTATAGTACTTATCATCAGTAAATTTTATAAATTTTCATCCATTTCATGGTGGTGCGCTTAGCTTAATTCTTCACCTGTATTTTAGAAAAAATATACTCACTTGCCAATAAATAAGAATACAACTGTATTTAATTAAAATTGAATCACAGATTAAGTAGTTGTGCTGTCATACACTTGTAACAAAAATACTATCAGCGACATCTAGCGATAACCAACCAAACTTCTTAGTAACTACTGTTCCTACATCGCAGAATGAAAGTTCTCACACTTTATATTCTGGAATACAATTTATGTAACATTCAGTTGAGTTTTCCTCCCACAATTGTTGACCGTTCAGTTGAATAGTCAAATCATAATCGTAGTGATCGTGCATAAAAATAAATGATGGCTTAACCGAACCAATCAGATGTTCGCTTAGGCCGTTTTTAATTTTTTTTGGAGTAGAATATTAATTATTAGTCAGTGTCACAAATGTATAACAGATAATACTCACATATCAAGATAACACATACATACTTAAGACTAAATACTATACTTTTTTTTAAAAGCATTGCCGACTGCGTATTCAACTGTATTCTTCATTTTTATTCATCCTTATAGGAGTGGTTGAAATTGATTTTTAAGAATTGTAATTTCCCGAATGAAACAACAATTTGTCAAATCGATTTATGAATGACAGAGTTCTGAGGTGAAAAACAACCAATTGAAAACCTCGTTTTTAGATATTGGTTAAAAATATAACTAAAATCATTGTAAACTGTCATCCGAAAAAACAAATAGTAAGATAATTACCTGTCCCTCATACTTGAGCAATGGGATCTGAACGAAGTTATAGAATCTTTAGGTTATTTTAACCAACCTCAATTTTGTTTCATAATTAAAATACTTGTATGTTTAGTCCATTGAATGATTGTTTCTACCAAGCCGTCTGGCCACCGTGGTATAGTGTTCTTTAGTGTCCTTTCCAAGGAGAGACCTATGTACATCAGTGGACTATTAAAAACTGTTGATGATGATGATGAAAGTTAAAGATAACATTCCACTTTAAAAAATTAAGGGAATAATAACACAGCATAAATTTCATCATGATTTTGAGCTCAATGAATTACTTGATACTTTTTTTTTTTTAACTTTATTGTCACATTACTCTTTGTAGATTTTAAAAGGATTATAATTATATTATGGGTATCTAGTAGGGTTATCTGAAATTGGACATTCCTTTCATAAATTCCTATCTTATTTTAATCTGCAAGTCTTCCTTCAACAGGAAATACTAGTACTAGTAACTAAATTAATTTGAATACGGTGACGGATTAAGAATACGGAGTATCAACACCCCTATCCCGTGGGTGTCGTAAGAGCCGATTAAGGGAACTAACTAGGCAGGATAACAGCACTGTGAAGAGAAAGAAAACTTAAAACAAATCCTATACCAACCCGTCTGGCCAGTGTGGTATAGTAGGCCAAAACTTCTTTTCTAAAGAGACGCCTACGTCCAGTAGTGGACTATTAAAGGCTGTTGATGATTGATGAATCAAATTAATTTAGTTACATCTTATTAGGCAAGAGTTCACATACAAACAAAATTTGTCTACACATATAAATCTTCCAGCACTTTAAAATTGTTCTTCCAAACAACACTTTAAAATTGTTGTTCCAATTGCATTTCACACCTTTTTATTGTATCTTCAAATAGTATTTACCTTGTTATTTCTTGCCTTTGATGATTAAAACAAAAACGAACTATGTATTTTTCAATTTGTATTTGCAGCTCTTTTCCAAGCTTTTTTTGCAGCGCTAGTTACGAGTAAATCATCACGACATCTACTTTCTTTACATACAGCTATACTCACGACAGAAAAAAGTAAAATGTCACCAAACTTTGTCAATGGTACATAAAATAAACACCATGTTTATTTTATGTACCATTGACAAATATCTTCCAACTACCCAAAATTGGTATAAAGTCGAATTGTTGTACAACGCATTTTTCAATTCACCTACGGTTTATCTATCAAAATTACGTACAGCAATTTCAACTCTATTACATAGCATTAAAACATTAATTTCAAAACATGGTTCAAGGTTTGACAACTGTACATTTCCTTCCATCTGAAATTCGATACCAAAATCGACCAGACTACCTTCCTGTTCAAGTCCAAACAATCATCATCAGTCATTCATCATCATTACAGCATGTGCAGCTGCTCGGCCGCAATCTCTACCAGGAGCGGAAACTCTGGCTACGGCGGCTGGACCGGCGTCGCTTACCAGTTTAACTCCTGATCACCAGCTTAGAGAAGACTTCACCGTGCTGGCGAAGGACCTCGTAGCGAGCTTGAAGACTATTGTCTCAACTTTGGTAAGATATTTTAAAATATATGTGGTTATTATTCGTAGTGTTAATGTACTGGATACTGTTTTTAAACCAATAAAGCCGAAGAATTGAAAGAATGGAAGCTGAAAGCTACAAACGTACCAAAAAAAACCTAGAAAATCTCTTTTTTTTAACTAATAGAAAAATATTTTAGCTAGTTACAAAAACGTGTTTTTTTTAAGTATTATTATTATATTTTATTTTTTGTTTTTATCGCACCAAATACCTACAGAAGCCGTGTATTACTTGTCTATGTACAGTAAATGTTATACAGCTCGCTGACGGACAGACAGCAGACGAACGGACTGCGAAATGTGAGCATTTTCGTGCCTTTGGATGCGTAACTCTAACAATTTTTTCCCTCAGATATGCGAGCGAGGACGCCTGCGGGCAGTAATGGACGCTAGTGACACGACGACTTCCCCAAGCGGAGCCGTCATGGCCGCCTTGAGAACCAACCTCACAACTGCACTACACCAGAATTCGGGTGAGAATTGTTTACTACACGTTTCAGCCAAGATCTCACCATTTCCCCATTTTCTGGAGGAATTTAACGGCAAATCAGCATATTTTTGTTCTGCCGGTTAGTGACCCTGACTACTATACCGGCAGTCGTGGGTTCGATTCCCGGAACCCAGGACAAATATTGTGTAATGAGCTCGATCATTTCTTCTGTCTGGGTGTAATTCATTTATAATATGTATCTTGAGAAATATATGAGCATGTTTACCAGCAGTCTGGTAACCATAGTACAGGCTCTGCTTAGTTTGTGATCAGACTGCCGTGTGTGAGAAGTTTAAAGTAAAAATTATAAAAAAAAAAATACACTAGATTGGGCCAAGCTCACTCTTGTCCAAGGGCCTAGAAAATTTGGTTATCCTGGAAAAGTGCAAATTCTTGTCAAATCCTCTCTTTCTACTTGGTTAATATACCGTAATATTAACATTTCACTGTCACATAACGTGTTCTGAATAACCTATAATTTTTTTCAAGAACAGGACAGTTTTTTTAACTGGAAAAATATGGCGCGTACAACAAAAAAAAACTAGATTTATCTTTTTAGTGCATACATATAAATTTGTATCTATCAATGTATCTTATACGTAAATAATGACGAGTTAAGTTATACGTACAGAGTTGCGCACGCGCCTGTCAAGGATCCACGATGCGTCGGATTTAGCTGAAATATCTTCTGTGGGACCTAACTCCGATCCGGTAAGTCTTACATACATACATTTATAAATTTCTTCTTTTTGGATAGATAGTGTAGGGTATGTTCTATAAACAAGTAACGGGTTGTTGTCTCTATCTATCCAAAGAAAAGAAAGACATACATGTATGCCTACACGATTTCTCTACTGTCATTAATACAACTGGCCTGGGCCTCAATTCTATTTTATGTTCACGCCAAGCCACTGTCATACCACTGACACGCTATTGAGATGCCATCGAGTGGCCATTGGCATCGGTATAAATATCGGTAGTCTCGGTAGAGTTTAAGTCATTGAATCATAATTTGTTTAGAAGCAGAGTTAAGGAAATGTTGGTTAAGAAATGCTATTATAATATTCACGACTACTTAAACGATAACTCTTAATTAATTATATTATTATTTTTACAAGGTTTGCTCTTTAGCTGTCATTATTTATCTTGACATACATATTATAGTTTTTTTTTTTTTTTCATTTTGACATTTAATTCTGACATTCTATTTTATTTTTGACATTTTTTTTGACATTCCTAGCCCATATAATTATATTATTGTATTGATGATTATTGTGTTATATTTTATGAAACTAATTTAATTACTATCTCAATCAATTTATATTTGTACGCCGTCCATGGCAAAACATGTTGATACACACAAACTAACCAATTGAACTGTTTAGGATTCATTTCCTGTAAACTACACATGTTTGAAGCAAATAAATATATTATTATTATTATTTCTTTATTTCATTCTTTATACATATAAATTACATTTTTAAATATATTTATATACAAAAACAAAAAAAAAATACATTTAAAAATATAAAAAATAGTATCCCATCGGTATCGGGTACAGAGACCAAGATATCGGTGGTTAGGACTCCAGAGACAGAAACTTCCTCACAATACGTGCCGTATCGAGAAGAACTGCTTTCTGCATCAGACCCTTAATCCAACTGCCTAACGCGAGCCTCTGAAGATGTTGGTCGAGGCTCTTAGCAACTAATCCATGGGCCGATATGACTATCGGTACAACGATTGCTGAATCAACATCCCACATGTCGACAATCTCGTGGGCTAAATCCAAATATTTCACTTGTTTATCTTTTTCAGCTTTCAAGAGATTGTCGTCATGTGGAATGGTAATGTCAACAATCATTGCTCGGCGCTCCGATCGGTCTATTAAGACTATATCAGGTTTATTGGCAACAATAGTCCTGTCAGTGATAATAGGGCGATCCCAGTACAACGTTGCAGGACCATTTTCAAGAACTGGGTCGGGCACATATTTGTAGTACGGTAACTCTACAGTCACAAGGTTATACTTAAGAGCAAGTTGCTGATGAACAATCCTGGCCACTTGGTTATGTCTATGCAAGTACTCGCCGTTGGCAAGACGAGAACAACCGGAAATTATATGTCTAAGGCTTTCACCAGGACAATGACATGCCCGACAAATGTCTATTGTGCCGTCCTTCAGGATATACTTCCGATAATTATTCGTCATAACAACTTCATTAGTAATTGCAAAGACAAAACCTTCAGTTTCCCCGAAGAGGTCACCGAATCGAAGCCAGAATACAGACGCTAGTTGATCCACCTCAGGCCTGTTCAAGGCTCGATAAAAACGTCCATGTAGCTCTTTGCCCTTCCATATCTCCTTACGATCAGTAATGTTGAGTACTGCAAATTTGCGCCAGTTCTCTTTACCTAGACCAAGCGGAGTGAGTCCGTTATCAACTGCTACTACATCCCTATGGATATCCACATTAACAGAAAGGAAGTAATTCCTAAGGTTACATATCTCACGATTGTGGAGGGTCTTGGCATTTAGAAAACCACGACCACCACATTTTCGTGGAATATATAACCTCATCACCGATGAACGTGGATGATGCATTCGGTATGCAGTAAGCAATGTACGAACTCTTCTATCCAGGGTATCTAGTTCAGTCTGAGTCCATCTAAGTATGCCAAAAGAGTAAGTTAGAACTGGTATGACCCAATCATTATAGGCTCTCACCTTATTACCACCCGATAAAAGACTATTTAATACTTTTTTTCAGGCGGCTAAAGAAGCGTTCCTGTAACGATTGTTTCATAGTCAACTCGTTTACACCTAACGCCTGTGACATACCCAGATATTTGTAAGTTTCGTTAGCTGAGAGACATGTAAAGTGCGTGGAATCTGAGAGTTCCAACCTATCAGACTCCACAACCCTGCCTCTTTTTACATGCATGATTGCACACTTATCTACACCAAATTCCATCCTGATACATTTACTAAAGGTTTTAGTTATTTCTAGTAAATTCATCAGTATGGAACTACTGGAAGCAAACAGTTTTAAATCATCCATGTAAAGGAGGTGGGATATAACCTTACCATCTCTCTGCAAACGATAGCCTAGCCCTGAACCCTCCAACATTATGCTGAGAGGATTTAAAGCTAAGCAAAACCACAAGGGACTTAAACTGTCACCCTGAAATATACCCCGCTTAATCATTATATATTCGCCATCGCCTTGAGATTGCCGACATCCTGGATAGCAAAGAACCGTTCTCCATTGCCGCATACATGTCTCCATAAAAGTGCATAGAGTTGTATCAATCTTGTACAACTCCATCACCCTCAAGAGCCACGTATGCGGCACAGAGTCATAAGCCTTTTTATAATCTATCCAACATGTCGACAGATCTTTTCGGTTACGGCGAACTTGTTGGTTAATAGTCATGTCAATAATAAGGAGCTCTTTAGTGCCACGTGCCCCATCTCTACATCCGTTCTGAGAGTGAGATATAATAGAGTTGTTCGTAATATGAGATGTTATCTTCAGTCTAAGAATGGACGTTAGTAATTTATATAACGTCGGAAGACACGTTATTGGCCTATAATTTTTGGGATCCGTGGCACCACCAGATTTATAGACTAGGTGAGTTAGTCCTGTAGTCATAAAAGATGGAAGCGAACCTGATTCTAGGCATGATTGAAAATGAGATGGCAAACGTACATGTGAGCTACGGAGCCACTTTAACCAAAAGTTATGCAGTCCGTCCGGTCCCGCTGACTTCCAATTCGGTAGCGAACGAACTGCATAAGCTATATCATTATCTGAAATTGATACTGGCTCCATTGTATTGATTGACTCACACGATCTTTCGACATCTCGCATCCATTCACCCTCTGTGTGAGTGATAGGCATCGACCATATATTACGCCAAAATGTATTAGTAATTTTAACATCTGGAAAATGTCCATCACTCACTAGATCAGGCTGCGCCCACCGTCTATAAACCCACCTCTCGTCCCTTTGGAATGTGCGATTCTGAGTATATCGTGCACTCTTTTTTTATACCTTCGTATACGGTTTGCCCATGCATAAACCTTCTGTTTCAGAAAGTCAATGCGCTCTGTGACTCGTGCCATATAATCACAGGACCTGATACCAGTTCCCGAAAAAGCCTGATTCACAAAGCGCATTACTCTCGGGCGTGTGTTGCCCGATCTGAAACAGATAAGTTTGCCAATGAGTACCCTTGCCTCAGCGATACGACGTTCAATTCTATACTGCCACGACGGCACCAGAGACTTAGGTCGAGGAGCCATGTCAACTCTTGAGAATTTGACACCAGCTACTCGACATGCAGTAACGGCCGCACAATACAGAATTGAATGTGTATCACTGAGGTTTTCCCATTTTTCAAAATATGGTGATAATATAGAATCAAGGGCACACACTAACGCCTTATTTCGCTTATGCATCGGCAAACGAGGTAAACGTGGTCTGTTTACGAAATTCATGGACCCATATTCCAGGATAGCACCTTCCAAAGTATTCCTTATTATATCATTGTACTGAGTACTTACAGAAGAAGCATCAATTTCCTCTCCTTCAGCAGGAGAAGCCTGTGGTAATTCGAGATCTTGATGCGTGACTGTTTGTGAAGAAGGAAAAGTAGTGAGGCTTATCTGTAAGTCGGAGCGTAGCCTTTCAAGTACAGTGCTATTCAACAAATTACATCGCTTAATAGCTCGCACTTGATCCGATAACCTTTGCACCGTAACGTTAACAGTTGGTTCAAGTTCCTGAAACAGAGTTAGTAAACGATTACGATACGCAGTGAGATTAGTTTCTCCCTCTGTAGCCACAAAATATGCTCGCATGACGTTCTCGTTCATTGAAGAAGTCCATTTCATGCGACGCACATTACCACCGATAGCGGGGGCCCTATTCGAAGCCGATGGGCCTCGGGATCCCAGGCAAACCGGTGGCCGACCTCTTCCCTGCCGACGTACAGGTGTTGGCGACGTTGGCGGGGAGAAAAACTCGTCGCTTGAAGTCGAGCTCGACGCCACTGTAATCACCGGGACTTGTGTTGTGACTTCCGGAGACAGCACGGCGGAGCGAAGCGACGAGTCCGGAGGTGTTAAACGTGCTCTGCTGGCTCTAGCTCTTGTAATCATTAACAAACAACAGTAGAATTTCTAAGAAAAAGATCTTGCTGTTTATTTGACATGACATTAAATGTCATTTCTCACGTATATTTTTTACCATTATAGAGTTATTTTAATCGAGTTGGGATTTTCTTTTCGTAATATATGTAAAAACATATTCTATTCTGAACTTTTCTCGAGTACATTAATTTTGCTGTAATCTAAAATTTTATAAAAATATACATTATACAGAAATTCCGACTGCTGTAGATAAGTGTTGCTAGTTATTATTATTATTATTATAAGAGTGGCTTGGCGTGAACATAAAATAGCAGAATTGAGGCTCTGTTCCTCTGGTGGCTAGTTATCTTAAGAACAAATAATGATGTGATGAGCACGACCATTTGTTCTGTGTCTGGGTGTGATTTAACTATAACATGTATGTATTTAGAAATATATGAATATATTTATCAGCACTCTGGTTAGCATAGCATAGTCTCTGCTTAGTTTGGGATCATTACTCCTTGTGTGAGATGTATAAATTTATTTTTCTTAAACCTTTCATAAATCAGATCAGATCAGAACGGTATGCAGATTTTATTAGGAAAAACTGAAGCCCCTGAGATTCACCCTGAAGTATGTCGATTTTTTGTACCCAATAACTACAGGCGTAGAAGTCACAGACTATATGCACTACCTATATGTCGCACGGTAGCATTTTATAATTCCCCCATTCCCCGGGCACTGTAAGGGTACTCAACGCTCTCAAAGACTCAAATCCAGACCGTGACTTGTTTGCAGACGATTAGTCAATATGTCTGGTGTACTGCGAGAAGTCTGTGTTAGAAGGAGTGTTGTTTAGTATTGTAAATTGACAAATTTGTTGTAAAGTATCGTATATTCTGGATCAACGTTTTTCTCTCATAGTTAAACCGCCGTAAGCTTGGCCCTCCTGATGGTTTGGGGGACGCGGGGCGGAGGTGCATTCAACCAATTAGCTAGTGCGTCGCTGTCCGCCGGCAGTGACTGACGTGAAAGCATGGCTGTACGTGTTATTTTTCTTAAGACTGCTACACACGGTATTATTTAGCTATATGGATAATCTGCCGACTCTGCGTCACAAAAAAAATTAAAAACTTGAAGTTCGGCTTACAGAGGTTCTACTGTTAAAGTTCTAATAAAGAATATTTATTATTTTACTTAATTTTTAAATTGTATCTGAATATAATTTACATGACGAAGATAAGGTGATTTTATTAAAATTATTTTACAGTATTAAATTTTCATGATGATGATGATGATGATGATGATTAAATTTTAAAATTAATCATAAAAACTTACAATACACTGACATTATAATACATGGAAATAAATTAGATTTTTATTACATCGTGTGTAGATTAAATCTCAAACAAATAAATCTGAAGATATCGAGTTAGTACATCGTGTCATGTATAGCCGAGCGCATCACCCGCCCCGCGTCCCGCAAACCATCAGGAGGGCCAAGCTTACTATAATTAGTGTAAGTGGCCAGAGGCCGTTCTAATTAAAAATAAATAAATAATAATAAAAAATCCACCAGCTTCGGTGTTCTGACATGACAGGACATATTGTGCTTTGATGGACTGTATGTTGATCCTCAGCAGGTAAATAACCGTCAATTCCAGCAGTCGCTGAGCTACAGTTCCTCTTGCGTATCAGCGTCAGAATTCTTCGACGCTGAAGAGCATGACGAAGATCTCAAGCCAACAGACATCATAGCAGCTGACGAGGTATGTTCCTGGTATGCAATATCCCCAAATACCTCATTTTCGAAAGTTCAGAATGGACATACGGATATTCAACCTTAACCTCCTCAAGTTACGGTAGTCTCTGGCGCGTTTTCCATTTGAGACTTAGGATATACCTTACCCTATCGTCCTAACTGTTGACGTGCCTGTTGACCAAGTGGTTAGTGATCCTAACTGCTAATCCAGAGGTCGTAGCTTCAACTCACTCCCACTCATAACAAATAGTTGACTGCGCGGATGGCGTAGTGGTTTAAGCGGTCGCCGTTGTGGGTTCAAACCCCACATGGGACAATACTTTGTGTGATCCACAAACTCTTGTTTTGAGTCTGGGTGTTCTTAGTGTCCGTTTTTTGTAAGTTTGTGAAGTCCCCCGCGACACATGATATTTTCAGTCTAAGTCAATGTAGGAGCGACCTACAATATATTCCTAATGAGGGAGTAGTCTTTGTAAAAAAAAAAATGTATCGGTTTGTGACGTAATCAAACTCATTTGGCAAATGCTAATGTTTTGGCGGAAACTTTTAATGTAACTTTACATTTCATTATAGAATAGAATAATCTTTATTGTACACCAATTCAGGATATTATACATACAATAGTATTCCAAGTTAATGACCATGTACAATATTACTTTTCATTTATTTATTTATTGAAAGTTTGCCGCGAAGTCTGTATTCATGCGTGTTTCTTTTAAATTTTGTGGTTTTAATTCTAGGCAGGCGTGATAGAGCTAGACGGCGACTCTTCATCAGAAGCAGGATCTCTTAGCAGTGAAGAAGGATCTGCGAGCTCAGATAACTCTGATGGTGCGAGTGAGTCGTACACTATAAATGTTAACAACCTCTCCACCCCATTTCTTCCTTTCTAATGATATTCATCGTTTTTAATAATGAGTGTGTTAATATATATATCTATAAAAGCAAGTAACTGATACACTGATTCACTGACTGATTGAACGCACAGATGAAACCGCTGGGTCTAAAAGCATGAAATTTTGCACAAATGTTAGGTTTAGGTGATGTAGAGGTGCACTAAGAAAGGATCAGTAGTAGGAGTATATATAAACTTAGTGATTGCAAACTAAAAAAAAAAAAAAAAAAAAAAGAGGTATTTCTAATTTATTTTTTACTGCACGGATGGCGTAGTGGTTTAAGCGGTCACCACGCCGCTTCCTACTACGCCGAGTGTGGTGGGTTCAAACCCCACATGGGACGACACTTTGTGTGATCCACAAATTGTTGTTCTGAGTCTGGGTGTTCTTTGTGTCCGTTTCATGTATGTTTGTAAAGTCCCCCGCGACACAGGCTATATTCCTTATGCGGGAGTTGTCTTTGAATAAAAATATATATATATAATAATAATAATCTTTATTGCATTTAAAATTACACTCACTGTTGAGGTACAATATCACAATAGTACAAAATCTATGACACTGACGGTACTAAATGCTGTCTACCAAACTAGGCGAGGCCTGTATTTTGGATGACAATATCCAGCCGCAGGAAAATTTACATGTAAGATTACGCTAAAGTGAAATATAGGGCACTTGCAATACAGATACATAACAATAAAAATAAAATAGGTATAATAAAAACTGTGTAGCGTAAGGACGTGAAGATGTGTGTGTGAGTGTGTGTGAGTGTGTATGTGTGTGTGTGTGTGTGTGTGTGTGTGTGTGTGTGTGTGTGTGTGTGTTTGTGTGCGAGTCGAGTGTGAAAAACGTGAAGATACCCAGTTTATCACAAGAGAGTAGAATGAAATAAATTATTTAATTGTTTGCAGTAAATTTTCTGTTTCTTGATAATTTAGCTTCTGAAGCCAGTTTGTAATTTTATTTTTAAGTTCGTGTCTTCTGAGACCTACAATATCTACTTCTCTGTTTATGTGGTTATAAAGTTTACATGTAATACTAACAGATTGACGACTGGCAAAGGCGGTTTTGAAATAGACCCTAGGACATACCGACATAAATCTTCGTATATATATATTCTCTATCAAAGATACTACCACGCGCGGAAATGAGTCGCACGTTTTTTTATGTCAGAGGGGCAGACGAGCAGACGGGTCACCTGATGGAAAGTGACCATCGCCGCCCATGAACGTCTGCAACTCAGGAATCACAAACGCGTTGCCGGCCTTTTAGGAAGGAATATCAGTATTTTAGTTAGTTTTATATTTAGCCTTCTTTTTTAATTTATAGAACGCTAGCCTCCTTTTTTAACTCGCTTTTGTTAGCTTCACCTCTATGCATGTAACTAAAAGATGCTTCTATGAACTTGATTGATGATCACCTTTTTTTTTGACTGTGTAAACCCCCTCGGGCCGTCACCCCACCGGGGTTTACGGCAGGGCGGTGTGTCGGAATCGGACCGACTTAAACCACACGGTGTGCCACTCTGCGCCTGTAATAGAGAGACCCCTCCTAGCGCAAATTGATTTTTTATGGTATAAAGGAGCAAACGTGCAGACGGGTCACCTGATGGTAAGCAATTACCGCCGCCCATGGACACCTGCAACTCAAAAGTCACAAGTGCGTTGCTGCCCTTGGAGTCGGAAGGGGGGGATTTGGACGCCGGTAACCTCACTCACTCAGTGAAAGGCAACGAAAGAATTGCTTAACACCTACTTCAAGAAATCGGATTGAATTAAAACTGCGTACACTTGAGTATAACTACGACTAACGATGAGAATACCATAATTTTTGAACCTAAGCTGACTTTTGTAGCGATGTGAAAATATTATTCTCACACCTGTACCTTTGTTATAGTAGTATCGGCAGAGCAAGTGACTCTCCGCGCAGTAGACCCTGGTGCGGGCTGGACCCGGCGGACACGGCTACCTTCGCCCCGGCCTACTCCTGGGGGACCCTCGCTGTGGAACTTGCTCTACAAGAATATAGGAAAGGATCTCTCTCAGATCTCAATGCCGGTCACTATCAATGAACCGCTGAACATGTTACAGGTTAGTGGTACTCATTTCCTCCTTTCTTCCTCCAACTCCAACCGTATTTTCTTTAAGGAAGTTTTGTGCAGTTAATTTTAAAATTAATTTGAGGGTTCAATCCAATATGAAATTAGAATAGAATTAGATTGCACGATAGTGGTTTAAGCCTTCACTTCGCCGCTTACTACTGCGCGAGTGTTGTGGGTCCGAACCCCACACAGGACAAAACTTTGTGTGATCTACAAATTGTTTTCTGTATCTGGGTGTTCTCTGTGTCCGTTTCATGTATGTTTGTAAAGTCCCCCGCGACACAAAGAGTTGCCTTTTAAAAAATATATTAAAATTCTTTCTACTCTGCACTGAATTGCAAAAGCATAAGTAAATTCATCTAAAATGTACCAATAATTATTGGATACAGTTCTACTGATAGTACCAAGAAGTTTTCTCGAAAGTGTTCAACGAAGAGTTCTCTTCTCACTAATATAAAGCCATATCATTAGGTTTCTTTACTGTAGCCTCTGTCTTACTTTCTTTTGTATTGTCTTGACTAGACTTTGATAGAAGTTTAGAATCAAAAATTCAAACAAAACATCATCCGTGTGGTGAAGGATTAAGAATACAGAGTGTAATCACCCCTGATCATTAATTGGGTGTCGTAAGAGCCGACTAAGGGAATGAACTACGCAGGACAATAGCACTGCAAAGAGACGGAAAACTTGGAACAAACCTTATACCAACCCGTCTGGCCAGCGTGGTATAGTAGGCCAAAACCTCCTTTCTAAGAAGAGGCTTACGTCCAGCTGTAGACTATTAAAGGCTGATGATGATGAAACATTTTGATAGCTTCTTTCTGGTTCGAGGCGCTAAAATTTTAACTGAACTTGTAACTAATTTGTTTTTAAGCGCATTTTTCATCAAGTAAGTTGGCAAACAAACGGTCATTCCATTTATTAATAAAAAATGGCGCTTATTTATGTTTTGGATATAAAAATACTTATAAAGAGTTTTAACCGGTATTAGAATTTTTTTATTTTTTTTATTTTTCTCGTATATATATGTGTATGTGTATGTGTATGTATATGTGTGTGTATGTATGTATGTATATATTTATGAGTATGTATATGTATGTGTATGTGTGTGGTATTACGACGTATACACCAAATTCCAAGATAGTTGGTATTTAACAAAACCACTATCGTTTATACCCTATCATAAATGCACCTACCTCATTCTTTCTCAGCACCGCCCAATCGGTCGACTGGCAGAGAATGCCTTAGGCATTAAGTCCGCCGATGCATGTTCTTGTGCAAAAAGTTAAAAAATAAAAATAAATAAAAAATAAAATAGACTTGAATCTGTGCTTTTGATCGCTGCGTCAGATAGTATAAACTGTTATTGAATCATTCGGGTTAGATAACAACGGTGACCAAAAACACCAGATCCTCTATTATTTGTGAATCGATCGGGTTCAATGACTGAGTAGTTTGACCAATGTAGAGTGCAACAAATATAAACAGAAGCGTCCCCCCGTAGCGGCTGTGCGAGGAGCTGGAGTACTCGGAGCTGCTGGACCTGGCGGCGGAGTGCGCGGGCGCGGTGGAGCGCATGGCGCTGGTGGGCGCCTTCGCCGTCAGCGCCTACGCCGCCACCGCGCACCGCGCCGCCAGCAAGCCCTTCAACCCGCTGCTGGCCGAGACCTACGAGTGCGTGCGCGACGACAGAGGCTTCCGCTTCATCGCCGAACAGGTCTCCGACTCCCTCGCTTATACCACCACTCGTATAATATTCTCCTATCAGATACTAACTAACGACTATAGACCGTTCGCGTTAAGAAAATAGTTCCAAGAAATCTAAGAAATCATTGTTTCGTACTGCTTTTGTATTTGCGTCTCGGCAAACGTAGTGTAGGACTCCCACAGGCCAGGTGGAGTGACGATTTGTGCAAGATAACTGGCAGGAGCTAGATGCGAGAAGCCCAAAATCGATCTAAGCGGCTTGCAATATGAGAGGCCTATGTCCAGCAGTGGACTGCGATAGACTGCTGATGTATTGCTTAAAGCGTCACTCTTTTCTTAACGCGAATGGACCAAAACAATGATTTGCGTTACACAAAGAACTTTATTTATTTTAGTTTAAGTTACATGCGTTATTGCTAAACTGTTTATTACTTAACAGACTTCAGAAAGAAAAAGATTCTCAATACGGTTTTTGTATTTTTATGTTTGTTGAATCAGAACTCTGTCATTTTTAAAACGTCATCCTTAAGGGTGGAACAGGTTACCACGAATTAAACCATTGAAATTGATTTTTAAAAGTAAATATTGTTTTGTTACCATATTATCCCTTACATCACGGTACTTATAAAACCTGGTCTCAATAAAAAAATATTAATAATGTTCCAGGTATCCCATCACCCGCCGATATCGGCGTGTCACGCTGAAACCTCCCGCTGGTGCTTTTGGCAGGAAGCCAGAATCAAAACCAAATTCTGGGGCAAATCCATGGAGTTCCAGCCGGCGGGAAGGGTTCATGTCAAACTGTTGACCACCGGAGACCACTATAGTTGGAATAAGGTATACATTATAAACTGTTCTGTATAAAATGATATTACTACAAGTTTTTTTCAGTTTAAGTCACTATTAAGAATATACACAACAACACGCACAAGCACACATACACGCACACGCACGGACACACGCGTTCACACAGACACACACGCACAAACATATACACAAATTATTAAAATCAAGTGGTGTTCAATGGGAGAAGCTTATGTCCAGTAGTGGACTGTGATTCAAATACATACAAAGCAATTTGTTGACGAATAAATCCTATGACTACGACCCGACGGTTTCCCATTCACGGAGTAAAGCGAACTGCTTAGACGGTGTCAGGCGAGTTTTCTTTGATCGTCATCTGCCTACCCTTATTCTAATATCATTTGGGGTTGACGCAGTATGTATGATTCTTCCATTCACCTCTATCATTCACTGTTTACTCCGTTCCTAGAGAGTTTTCATTTTTTTTTTTAATAATGAAAATGATAATTTGTTCTAGGTGACGACGTGTGTTCACAACTTGTTCGGCGGCCAGCGATGGGTGGACCAGTACGGAGATATGCACATAACGTGCCATGGTACAGACATCACGTGTAAACTTAACTTTATTAAGGTGAGTCTACATGACATGACGTTTGCTAATTTAATTTATCCATACTAATATAATTTGTTGTATTCTTGTCCAATGTGAATTTTTTTTTTATAAATCGGGTAAAAAGTTATTTACAGAAGAATAATACAAGCTATAAAATATCAAGAGACTCTTACTAGCTAAGCATTGACTATATATAATCGTATATATCAAGGAATGGCTCGTATTGTTACATTTATTTAAATATTAAAATTAAAGGGAATAATTATTTATGATTCATTCATTCAGCAGCCTTTAATAGTCCACTGCTGGACATAGGCCTCCTCTCAGAAAGGAGGTTTGGCCTACTATACCACGCTGGCCACACGGTTTGTTTCAAGTTTTCCTTCTCGTCACAGTGCTGTTATCCTGTGTAGTTTGCTCCCTTAGCCGGCTTTTACGACACCCACGGGATGAATAGGGGTGGTGACACTCCGTATTCTTAATCCGTCGCCACACGGTAAGTAACACACCACACATTATTTATGAAATATACTAAAATTATTATTTTAGTATTACTCGAAAAATATTAATATAATATATAATATAATATATCTCACACATCTCACACACGGCCGTCTGATCCCAAACTAGGCAGAGCCTGTACTATGGTAACCAGACTGCTGATAAACATACTTATATATTTTTAAATACATACATATTATAGATAAATTACACCCAGACACAGAACAAATGACCGTGCTCATCACACAATATTTGTCTTGGGTGGGAATCGAACCCACGACCTCCGGCTTAGCAGTCAGGGCCACTAACCACTAGACCAACAGGCCTGTCAACAGGCAGGCAATCAACAGGCATATAATGTAAACTTTAGTAATGTTTTTATTTGAATTTGAAAAGCAATGGCACGGCAACTCAAATATCTCATGTACAAAAATAGAGCTTATTGTAATGATCAAAAGGTTTACATTTTTTTCACACAACGGTCGTTGCATCGGTGCGAGCGCGATGGCAATAGATTTACGCGCGAGGGACAGAGACAGGATAATAACAAGTTAATGTACGAAATTCCTTTTACTCCGTGACCGCATTACACATACAAATGCGTATATTCATACATATGCATACATACACACTAACTAATATTGTCTCATAAAATAATTTTACTTTAGAGTCAATATTAACACTTGGGTATTGTGTATAAAATTCATTCTCAAAGTGGTCAATATTGAGTGGGTTGGTACCCTTGGGGTTGAAATTTGTTTCCCAAGGGTTTAAATAAACGAAAATTGACTTTGGGTCAACAAGGCCAAAAATCGACTTCTAACAATTAATACAAGTTATTATTTTAAAAATTCGTATTCGTAACGTAAGTATCTTTGTTGTATTTATAAAAAAAACAACAACAAGTCGATAAGCGCGCAGTAATTTGATTATGGGGAAATGAGGCATCAGTTCATTTTAGAAAAGGGATCTTTGGTCCAAAATAGTCTCTGAATCTTTGGTGTATAAGCTACAGTTACAAGTATAACAGTCTCATATAGATAAACTGTGTGTTTTGGGTAGTATATGTACTTCATTTCTTAATCTTTTGGCTTCATGTATACGAAGCTAATTGTGGTCACTGCGCGATGTTCACGAAGAGATATACGAATGTTTTTTTTTTTTGAAAAGACAACTGCTGCACTAAGTATATCCTGTGTCGCGGGGACTTTACAAACATACACGAAACGGACACAAAGAACACCCAGACTCAATTAGTGGATCACATAAAGTGTCGTCCCCTTCTTTTTTTTTTCCGTGCGGAAATCCCCTCGGATACCACCTAGCGGTGGCATGTCGGACTAGAACCGACTAAAACCGCACGCCGTCTCGGGTACTAATAGCCGGGGAACCAGGTATACCCTAGAAAGGAAGTCCCTGGTGCCGTGTGTTCCCGTGAATCCGAAGTGTGTATGGTACGTACACATCCGAAGGGTCCCGTGAATCCTCCATAACGGGTCTTACCGCCGCGATGACGGCGTGCCCGGCGCTCGTTGCCCGAGTCGTTCCCTCCACTCCCCTATGATGACCTGGCGGAGTTGGGATTTCCGGTCATCGATTTCTCGAATCTCGGGGCATCGACCCAACTCCCGTGCCTCCTTGCGCCACTGATACAGAGCCGCAAGGTCCCACGGTGGAGTTCCGGCCAGGAGACTCGCCGCCTCAAAGGAGATCGTGCGGTACCCCCTTATGATCCTGATGGCCAGCACTCACTGCGACGACCGCAGCGAGTGCTGAGTGGTGGCGCGTCTTGCCGCGCGCCGTCACGAGTGTGTCGTCCGCGTAGCACACGACGGCGAAAAGTGTCGTCCCCTGTGGCTTACTTAACTACGGCTTACACTAAAATTCTATCACCGGTGAACGTTGATCAGTGCAGCGGCAGTGCGTGTTCTATTTGTTAGACATTAAGGTCACTCATCTAAGGGATAGACAGTAAGATCGTGTAACGCTGTGGTGTCCGCAGGCGAGTTCGTGGTCGAGCAGCCGGCACGAGGTGCGCGGCGCGGTGAGCGTGGGGGGCGGCGCGCGCCTGCGCCTGGCGGGGCGCTGGTCCGAGGCGCTGTACGCCGGGGACCCGCCCGCCGCGCGCTGCCTCTGGAGGCCCGGTACGTACCATACACACTTAACTGCGCCTGGCGGGGCGCTGGTCCGAGGCGCTGTACGCCGGGGACCCGCCCGCCGCGCGCTGCCTCTGGAGGCCCGGTACGTACCATACACACTTAACTGCGCCTGGCGGGGCGCTGGTCCGAGGCGCTGTACGCCGGGGACCCGCCCGCCGCGCGCTGCCTCTGGAGGCCCGGTACGTACCATACACACTTAACTGCGCCTGGCGGGGCGCTGGTCCGAGGCGCTGTACGCCGGGGACCCGCCCGCCGCGCGCTGCCTCTGGAGGCCCGGTACGTACCATACACACTTAACTGCGCCTGGCGGGGCGCTGGTCCGAGGCGCTGTACGCCGGGGACCCGCCCGCCGCGCGCTGCCTCTGGAGGCCCGGTACGTACCATACACACTTAACTGCGCCTGGCGGGGCGCTGGTCCGAGGCGCTGTACGCCGGGGACCCGCCCGCCGCGCGCTGCCTCTGGAGGCCCGGTACGTACCATACACACTTAACTGCGCCTGGCGGGGCGCTGGTCCGAGGCGCTGTACGCCGGGGACCCGCCCGCCGCGCGCTGCCTCTGGAGGCCCGGTACGTACCATACACACTTAACTGCGCCTGGCGGGGCGCTGGTCCGAGGCGCTGTACGCCGGGGACCCGCCCGCCGCGCGCTGCCTCTGGAGGCCCGGTACGTACCATACACACTTAACTGCGCCTGGCGGGGCGCTGGTCCGAGGCGCTGTACGCCGGGGACCCGCCCGCCGCGCGCTGCCTCTGGAGGCCCGGTACGTACCATACACACTTAACTGCGCCTGGCGGGGCGCTGGTCCGAGGCGCTGTACGCCGGGGACCCGCCCGCCGCGCGCTGCCTCTGGAGGCCCGGTACGTACCATACACACTTAACTGCGCCTGGCGGGGCGCTGGTCCGAGGCGCTGTACGCCGGGGACCCGCCCGCCGCGCGCTGCCTCTGGAGGCCCGGTACGTACCATACACACTTAACTGCGCCTGGCGGGGCGCTGGTCCGAGGCGCTGTACGCCGGGGACCCGCCCGCCGCGCGCTGCCTCTGGAGGCCCGGTACGTACCATACACACTTAACTGCGCCTGGCGGGGCGCTGGTCCGAGGCGCTGTACGCCGGGGACCCGCCCGCCGCGCGCTGCCTCTGGAGGCCCGGTACGTACCATACACACTTAACTGCGCCTGGCGGGGCGCTGGTCCGAGGCGCTGTACGCCGGGGACCCGCCCGCCGCGCGCTGCCTCTGGAGGCCCGGTACGTACCATACACACTTAACTGCGCCTGGCGGGGCGCTGGTCCGAGGCGCTGTACGCCGGGGACCCGCCCGCCGCGCGCTGCCTCTGGAGGCCCGGTACGTACCATACACACTTAACTGCGCCTGGCGGGGCGCTGGTCCGAGGCGCTGTACGCCGGGGACCCGCCCGCCGCGCGCTGCCTCTGGAGGCCCGGTACGTACCATACACACTTAACTGCGCCTGGCGGGGGCGCTGGTCCGAGGCGCTGTACGCCGGGGACCCGCCCGCCGCGCGCTGCCTCTGGAGGCCCGGTACGTACCATACACACTTAACTGCGCCTGGCGGGGCGCTGGTCCGAGGCGCTGTACGCCGGGGACCCGCCCGCCGCGCGCTGCCTCTGGAGGCCCGGTACGTACCATACACACTTAACTGCGCCTGGCGGGGCGCTGGTCCGAGGCGCTGTACGCCGGGGACCCGCCCGCCGCGCGCTGCCTCTGGAGGCCCGGTACGTACCATACACACTTAACTGCGCCTGGCGGGGCGCTGGTCCGAGGCGCTGTACGCCGGGGACCCGCCCGCCGCGCGCTGCCTCTGGAGGCCCGGTACGTACCATACACACTTAACTGCGCCTGGCGGGGCGCTGGTCCGAGGCGCTGTACGCCGGGGACCCGCCCGCCGCGCGCTGCCTCTGGAGGCCCGGTACGTACCATACACACTTAACTGCGCCTGGCGGGGCGCTGGTCCGAGGCGCTGTACGCCGGGGACCCGCCCGCCGCGCGCTGCCTCTGGAGGCCCGGTACGTACCATACACACTTAACTGCGCCTGGCGGGGCGCTGGTCCGAGGCGCTGTACGCCGGGGACCCGCCCGCCGCGCGCTGCCTCTGGAGGCCCGGTACGTACCATACACACTTAACTGCGCCTGGCGGGGCGCTGGTCCGAGGCGCTGTACGCCGGGGACCCGCCCGCCGCGCGCTGCCTCTGGAGGCCCGGTACGTACCATACACACTTAACTGCGCCTGGCGGGGCGCTGGTCCGAGGCGCTGTACGCCGGGGACCCGCCCGCCGCGCGCTGCCTCTGGAGGCCCGGTACGTACCATACACACTTAACTGCGCCTGGCGGGGCGCTGGTCCGAGGCGCTGTACGCCGGGGACCCGCCCGCCGCGCGCTGCCTCTGGAGGCCCGGTACGTACCATACACACTTAACTGCGCCTGGCGGGGCGCTGGTCCGAGGCGCTGTACGCCGGGGACCCGCCCGCCGCGCGCTGCCTCTGGAGGCCCGGTACGTACCATACACACTTAACTGCGCCTGGCGGGGCGCTGGTCCGAGGCGCTGTACGCCGGGGACCCGCCCGCCGCGCGCTGCCTCTGGAGGCCCGGTACGTACCATACACACTTAACTGCGCCTGGCGGGGCGCTGGTCCGAGGCGCTGTACGCCGGGGACCCGCCCGCCGCGCGCTGCCTCTGGAGGCCCGGTACGTACCATACACACTTAACTACAGTTGTTACAGCGTGGATCGAACTTTATCACAATTTTCCCTATATCACATCAACAGCCTATAATAGTCCACTGCTGGACATAAGCCTCTCCTTAGAAAGGAGGTTTTAGACTACTATACCACGCACGGCCAGACGGATTGGTATAGGGTTTATGTCCAGTTTTCCTTCTCTATGCACAGCTGTTGTCCTGCGTAGTTTAATAGGGGTGGCGACATTCCGCATTCTTAATCCGTCACTACACGGATAATAATAATTCCCTATACATATATTATAATTCCCTTTATGTTTAATTTTCCTATATATTATATAATCATCGTTACCCATCAATAGCCTTTCATAGTCCACCGCTGGACATTAGCCTCTCGTTAGAAACGGGTTGGTATAGGGTTTATTTCAAGTTTTCCTCCTCTTTGCAGTGCTATAGTTCTGCATAGTTAGCTCCCTTAGTCGGCTCTTACGACACCCACGGGATGAAGAGGAATGGTGACACTCTGTATTCTTAATCCATCACCACACGAACAAAGACAATCACAATCCAGTACTGACACATGCTAGTTCTCCAACTTCTCTTGATGAGATCTTGGCTCAACGCTTACCGAGTAGATAACGCATTACAACGTTAAGAAATCCTAGGTCAGTCTATGGATGGGTAACCATTCTTAACACATTGAGACTCCATGCCTCAGAGAGCACGTTAAGCCAATCGTTACAGGTAGTTGGAACCCCAGAACCACTATATCGCCTAGTACTTGGGTTGTGCAGGTCTAATGGCAGTCGCTCCGCATAAAAACTTAAAATATTGTCACACACATCACATCAACAGCCTTTAGTATTCCACTGCTGGACCTATGTCCTAGTAGGCCAAAACCTCCTTTCTAAGGAGAGGCTTACTATGCCACGCTGGCCAAAACGCTTAAAATATTGTATAGAAATAAAATTTTCAATTTACTATTACAGGTGCAATGCCACCTGAACACGAGCTCTACTACGGCTTCACTCGGTTTGCGATGGAACTGAACGAGTTAGAGCCAGGCATGAGGGATGCTCTACCGCATACTGACACCAGACTCAGGTAAAACTGTAACTACAATTAAAAAAGAATAAAAGAATATAACAAAATATGAGTTAAAAGTCGGAGAGAGGTAGGCAAGAAGGGAAATCGATGGAAGTAAAAGGATTAAGGCGAAAGTGTGTCTGTCTGTTACCTCTGTCTCGGAAATGATATAGGGTAGTTTTTATCCTAGAAGTCCTACTTTAGGGGGGTGAAAAGGTGGTTGGGAGTTTGTATGGGGAATCAAAAACTGCTGAACCCATTTAGGTGAAATTTGGTATGGAGAGACTTTGATTCTTGAGGAAAGACATATGCTACTTTACTTTATATTTATTAATTGGGCAGTTATTATTATGAACAAGCTGTACCCTGCCAAGCTTTGGTGTGGCTCATTGTGATTGTAAAAAAAATAGAAACAACCAACTTTGAAGCGAGTTGCACATCGTGTCAAAAAAAAACAGTTATTGAAGTGCACACAAACTGACATAACATAGATAGATAATAATAATATCACACATCTCCCATACGGCCCTCTGATCCCTATGGAAACCAGACTGTTGATTAACACACATATATTTCTAAATACATACATATTATAGACTAGCTGAGGCCCGCGGTGTTACCCGCGTTTGTTGTCATAACTGCGGGCAACGCCGCGGGGCGAAGCTAGTCTAAAAAAAGTAGCCTAAGTTACTCCTTATGTCATCAGCTATCTGCTAGTGTAGGTCCCGTCGAAATCGGTCCAGCCGTTCCAGAGATTACCTGGAACAAACAGACAGACAGACAAAAAATTTAAAAAATGATATTTTGGCATATGTACCGTTGTAACGGTGCATTTCGCGCCATTACAGTAATTTGAACCTTAGTCTCGTTTTTGCTTTGTTAGATTGAATTTTTTGTCGTTTCTGCGAGTGCCGATGGTCGAGGGACGGACGAGAGTAATAATCGATGTTGTTCGCCCGCGATTAGTTTAGTCGATTTAGTTTTTCTTGTTCTGGCAACATTTTTGTTTCCCCGCTCTATGAAGCGAGAGGCTATTGCACTGGTATCACTTTTTTCACTCTTGGCGTCGGTCCAGGACGAAGCAGTTTGGATTTTTTAAAATGTAGACTTTTTGTTGTAATTTATGTCTTACGAGGGCTTATTTCTTACTTTTATTTTTCGGCCAACCTCGTTAAGAATCAAATTATTGATTGAGTTTTTATTTTCGTTAAAAAGGTAAGTTTGTGCGGCCACGTGCTTCACGCTTGGCTTGGCGGAATTTGTGGTTTTAACTCTTTGTTTAATTGGTTACAGGCAATGCTTATAATGCTTATAATGCCGCTGCTTGATTTGTGAAGCATTTTAGAACCCTGGTAAGTGAAATATGATTTCTTGTCAGAGTTATGGTTCATCTTATGAGATAGGCTTTTAACCTATAATTTTTCCTTGTTTGCAGATGAATCAGGGTTCTTTTCTTTTTTAGTTAATATCTAAAGATTTTACAATACCTAAATTATTTTACTTTCTTATTGGAATGTCCTTGCGTGGCATTCGATTTTTGTCTCTCGCCGGAGTTTAACCCCAAGAAATTAGTTTGCTGTGGAGCTCAGAATGGTAGAAAAAGCTGCTTAGCTGCACGCCATCGTCTGGAGCAGGGGAGTACTAACCCGCCTCTTACACCACGTGGGAACCGGAGTGAGAAGTTTCGGAGTTGGTTTGATTTCATTTCGTTCGGACTGATCCAAGGTCATCGGTATGTGTTTTTGTTATATTTTTCTTGGCGACGTGGCATTGAATACTGCAGGTCCCCAAGGGGTGTTATTTTTCATTAGAGAGTAGGTCAATGCTATGTCTACCCTTAGAGTTTACTGTTTTGTCTATTTAATCTTTTTGTGACTCTTTAAAATTTATTTAACCTTATAATTTTCTTATTGGAAAGGATTGCATTAATGACAGTACTAATTTGTGTATAAGAATTACCTATTGTAATTAGAGACATAAGACACATTGTACTCTACAGACACTACGGGAAAATAAACTGCCAATAGAACTTAACATCTTGTATTCATTAGCTGTCCTCCCGCTTTGTTTTAAAAAGGTTCAACGCTGGCTGAGATGTCCGAGGTATTTGTTGTGTTTGTGGTGGGTTCTGTGTTCTTTTAAGGTGGTATCTGGCGCCCGAGACTTGTATTTTGTTATTTTGTTTCTATTTGATGCCACCAATTCACCAAAATTAGTTTTATTTCTTTTATAACACACCCCACAACACACAATTTTAAATTTTTTTATTTTTTATTACTACAATTGTCGCCAGCGCTCAGGGACTGAAGTAGTGTCTGTAGGTTAATTAGATAACTGATTAGATACTGTCTTTACTGCATCCTATATTTTTCTTACATACCTTGTGTATTTTATAATTGTATTATCATTAAGTGAGGTTATTTTTACAATTTTTCAATAATAGTTTACAACATTGTGACTTTACAATGTTATTTCTGCTTTAACAAACAACAATAATTTAAGTTATACTGCTGCCTATTGTATTCTCAATTAAGGGTATAGTTACTGAAACATTTTGTGTTACAATTTAATAGCTTTGAATGTTAATTGTAAGTCTGCTCAAGAAACATTTTATAGATACCTCCGCTTTGGAATTATTATAATATAACTTATTGTAAATTAAGATTAACTTAACTTAGCTTAGCCTTGCTGTTATTATCTAGTTACTAGAACAATTGTTAGTGGTTACTGCAATCCTTAAATCCTTTTTAATACAGAACTTAGATATTTAGATTAAAACTTAGCTTTTTTCACTTCACTTTTGAACCAATTTAGACTTTTCTTTACAATATTCAACTTTTAAATAAATTTGAACCTGGTTCTTCACAACACTTAACTTTTAAATAAATTTAAACTTATCCTTTCACAACAATTAACTTTTAAATAATTTAAACCTAGGTTTTCACAACAGTGACTTTTGAATAAATTTAAACTTAATTAATTTTAAAGAACTTAACCTTTGAACGGCTGTTTTGGAATTGTGTGGTTAATGTCGGTTTGTATTATGGACAAGGAGGCTCCACCTTCAACGTCGCCTGCCAATGTGGATGTTGACACAGCTGCGGATGAGTCAGCGGAGATGAGCGTCCCATTAGACTTGTCATATGTTCGTGATACTCCTGCTCTTGCACCAAGTCTGCCTTCGTTCAACAGCATGAATGAACACGTTAGGAGGAATATGCCTGCCTATACTACGAAGCTGCCTGATTTAACTAGGAGCAAGATAATCTTTGACGGTAAGACCTGTGTTAGAGAATTTATCACTCGCGTTGAGGATTACTTTGTATTCAGGAACTTTCATGAGGCCGTGTTGATTGGTTCGTTCGCTGATCTGCTTGCTGGTACTGCTGCCAAGTGGGTTAGGATTATTCGTTAATTGTCAAAACTTCCCTTCTAGATATAAGAATTTCAGGGTTGAGGACCACAAATTGTATAAATTTTGTAAGAATAAATTAAATCTGGATAGTAGATTAAATTGGAAAATTGTTATTTCTAGGAACATATTCTTGATACTATTAAGTCTAACCATGATGATATTAATTCTGGTCATCTTGGGGTTCATAAAAACCATTAAGAAATTAAAACAACATTATGTTTGGAACGGTATGTTTAATGATGTTCAAAATTACATTAGATCTTGTGACACATGTAAAGCCTATAAGCACAGCACCTCACATAAATATATTCTTTCAGTTGTAGATGTTTTCACAAAATTTTGCTGGGTTTTTCCATTAGTAAAAGCTACCACCGTATCCAATTGTAGAATCCTTGAAAAAGAGATATTTCTTAAATTTGGTTGTCCTAAATTAATAGTTTGCGATAATGGTACTCAATTCACTTCTAAACATTTTGTAGATTTCATGAGAGGTTACAACATTACTAAATTTTTTATAACACATTGTACACACCTCAGAGTAACCCTGTGGAGAGGTACAGTAGGACGGTAGGGACTTGTATTTCATGTTTTGTTAAAGATTGGATTTTGTTAGTTGTTCTTGCTTTAAATTTTGACCTCACATTTAGTTAGCTTTTGATAGTAGTGTAAGTTGGGCTACTGATTTTACTTCTAATTTTCTCATGTTTAGTAGAGAGTTAATTTGTTGATGCTCATCTACACCGTTTTGGTAATTTTTCTTTGTTAGTTTAGACCAACTTGAGTTTGTTAAGGGGATCTTTGTGCCCTTTCTTTTGGATCACTTAGTGATATTTTTTTGTTAGAGTTGAGTCATATTTGTTAAAAGCGCATTGCTTTATATTAAATTTATTAATATTATTTGTTGCAATTATATATTAAAATTATTAATATTATTTGTTACTATTTCTTTTGATGTTGGTGATATTGTTTGGATAAGAAGTTTTATTCAGTTCTAGCGCTCCAGCATATTTTTCGGCAAAGCTTGCACCTAAGTTTATTAAATGTAAAATTATAGAGAAAATTTCAGACAACGTTTACCTTTTGCAGGACCTTTCAAAGAACATCTCTGGTCGCTGTCATATTAAAGACATTATTAAATATTAAAATTTCACTATTCGGTCATTAACTTTTGGGTCTTAATTTGATATATTTGTTGGATTCTACCTTTGTGTGAGGAAGTATGTAAATGGATGTATGCTAGATTATGGTCCTTTGTATGTTGATGTAGTGAGAGGCATTCTTACCGATATATTAATTTTAGGGTTTAAGAGTTCAAAAGTTTGCTTAGGTCATTTTGGTTTATTAATTTAGGAACTTCATTCATAGTAGAACCACATCAAAGGAATCTTTTGTTTGTATTTTATTTGCACTTCTACCTAGTGTAGAGTGTTTTGTTGGAGTTGGGTTCGCCTTCTTTTCAAGGGTTGAACGGGTTGTTTGTTGGATTCACACTTTTTTTCAGGTGTTGAATGTTTTGTTTCTTGTTGGATTCACACTTTTTTCAGGTGTTGAATGATTTGTTTTTTGTCGGTTTCACACTTTTTTTCAGGTGTTGAATGTTTTGTTTCTTGTTGGATTCACACTTTTTTCAGGTGTTGAATGATTTGTTTTTTTGTCGGTTGCACACTTTTTTTCAGGTGTTGATTGGTTTGTTGGTGGGATTCACGTTTTTTAAGCGTTGAATATTTTGGTTTGCTTTCTGTTGTATTGTGCCCGGTAGTTCGGTGGTGTTGTGCCGATCACAATACACAGGTTTTTTATATATTCACACCGTCTTGTTGTGTTGAATATTTTTGTTTGGTTTCTGTTGCATTGTGCCCGGTAGTTCGGTGGGGTTGAGCCGATCACAATGCACAGGTTTTTTATATATTCACACCGTCTTGTTGTGTTGAATATTTTTGTTTGGTTTCTGTTGTATTGTGCCCGGTAGTTCGGTGGAGTTGTGCCGATCACAATACACAGGTTTTTTTATATATTCACACCGTTTTGTTGTGCTGAATATTTTTGTTTGGTTTCTGTTGTATTGTGCCCGGTAGTTCGGTGGAGTTGTGCCGATCACAATACACAGGTTTTTTATATATTCTCACCGCCTTGTTGTGATGAATATTTTGGTTTGGTTTCTGTTGCATTGTGCCCGGTAGTTCGGTGGAGTTGAGCCGATCACAATGCGCAGGTTTTTTATATATTCTCCCCGCCTTGTTGGGATGAATATTTTTGTTTGGTTACTGTCGTATTGTGCCCGGTAGTTCGGTGGGGTTGTGCCGATCACAATACACAGGTTTTTTATATATTCTCACCGCCTTGTTGTGATGAATATTTTGGTTTGGTTTCTGTTGCATTGTGCCCGGTAGTTCGGTGGAGTTGAGCCGATCACAATGCACAGGTTTTTATATATTCTCCCCGCCTTGTTGGGATGAATATTTTGTTTGGTTCGACATGTTTGACATGTGTTTGAAGTTAGGGTGAAGCATTTTGTAACTCCATTAGAGTCGGTGACGAAGGTGTCCAACCGCACTTCTTGGAATTTGATATCTTTGAGATATGCATTTCCTGATGGATGTTGTTTTGTTTTGTGTAGTTCGTAACTCCATTAGAGTCGGTGACGAAGGTGTCCAACCGCACTTCTTGGATATTGATATCTTTTAAGATACAATTCCTAATGGATGTTGTTTGTGAAGTTTACTTTGTTGTTGTTTGTGAAGTTTACTTTGTTGTTGTTAGTGTATTTTGTTGTAGTTTGCAGCTCCATTAGAGTCGGTGACGAGGGTGTCCAACCGCACTTCGTGGAAGCTGGTATCTTTTTAGATGTACAGTTCCCAATGGAAGCAGTTTGTGTAGTATATTTTGTTGTGTTTGTAGCTCCATTAGAGTCGGTGACGAGGGTGTCCAACCGCACTTTTTGGACTTTCCAGTCCTAATGGTAGCTTGGTGTTGGGATTTGTTTTTGGGTGTGTGATTTTGTTGTAGAGTTTATTTTGATCTTATATTTAGTTTCCTAGTCCTTTTTGGCGTATGGATTTTTGTATTCCTAGAGTTTGTAGAGTTTTAGTGGAGTTTGGTAGATTCAGTTTTGGAGTTTAGATATTTTGCAATTTTTTTGTTTGATATGTTTTTCGAGTGGTGACTTTTCAGCATAAAAGAAAGAGTCCTTTCTTTTATTTTTTTCGGGAAGGTATGTAATGTAACGGTGCATTTCGCGCCATTACAGTAATTTGAACCTTAGTCTCGTTTTTGCTTTGTTAGATTGAATTTTTTGTCGTTTCTGCGAGTGCCGATGGTCGAGGGACGGACGAGAGTAATAATCGATGTTGTTCGCCCGCGATTAGTTTAGTCGATTTAGTTTTTCTTGTTCTGGCAACATTTTTGTTTCCCCGCTCTATGAAGCGAGAGGCTATTGCACTGGTATCACTTTTTTCACTCTTGGCGTCGGTCCAGGACGAAGCAGTTTGGATTTTTTAAAATGTAGACTTTTTGTTGTAATTTATGTCTTACGAGGGCTTATTTCTTACTTTTATTTTTCGGCCAACCTCGTTAAGAATCAAATTATTGATTGAGTTTTTATTTTCGTTAAAAAGGTAAGTTTGTGCGGCCACGTGCTTCACGCTTGGCTTGGCGGAATTTGTGGTTTTAACTCTTTGTTTAATTGGTTACAGGCAATGCTTATAATGCTTATAATGCCGCTGCTTGATTTGTGAAGCATTTTAGAACCCTGGTAAGTGAAATATGATTTCTTGTCAGAGTTATGGTTCATCTTATGAGATAGGCTTTTAACCTATAATTTTTCCTTGTTTGCAGATGAATCAGGGTTCTTTTCTTTTTTAGTTAATATCTAAAGATTTTACAATACCTAAATTATTTTACTTTCTTATTGGAATGTCCTTGCGTGGCATTCGATTTTTGTCTCTCGCCGGAGTTTAACCCCAAGAAATTAGTTTGCTGTGGAGCTCAGAATGGTAGAAAAAGCTGCTTAGCTGCACGCCATCGTCTGGAGCAGGGGAGTACTAACCCGCCTCTTACACCACGTGGGAACCGGAGTGAGAAGTTTCGGAGTTGGTTTGATTTCATTTCGTTCGGACTGATCCAAGGTCATCGGTATGTGTTTTTGTTATATTTTTCTTGGCGACGTGGCATTGAATACTGCAGGTCCCCAAGGGGTGTTATTTTTCATTAGAGAGTAGGTCAATGCTATGTCTACCCTTAGAGTTTACTGTTTTGTCTATTTAATCTTTTTGTGACTCTTTAAAATTTATTTAACCTTATAATTTTCTTATTGGAAAGGATTGCATTAATGACAGTACTAATTTGTGTATAAGAATTACCTATTGTAATTAGAGACATAAGACACATTGTACTCTACAGACACTACGGGAAAATAAACTGCCAATAGAACTTAACATCTTGTATTCATTAGCTGTCCTCCCGCTTTGTTTTAAAAAGGTTCAACGCTGGCTGAGATGTCCGAGGTATTTGTTGTGTTTGTGGTGGGTTCTGTGTTCTTTTAAGGTGGTATCTGGCGCCCGAGACTTGTATTTTGTTATTTTGTTTCTATTTGATGCCACCAATTCACCAAAATTAGTTTTATTTCTTTTATAACACACCCCACAACACACAATTTTAAATTTTTTTATTTTTTATTATTACACCGTGTAAACATACATATGCATTTAGTAAAAAGCGGTTATTTTAATATTACAAACAGACACTCAAATTTTATTTATTTGTATACATAAATTACACCCAGACACGGAACAAATGACCGTGCTCATCACACAATATTTGTCCTGGGTGGGTATCGAACCCACGATCACCGGCTTAGCAGTCAGAGTCACTAACCACTAGACCAACAGGCCTGACAACATGTAAGAAAAAGTCAGAAAAATTGCTTGTAAGGGTAGATTTTGGAATGTAAGTTTGGGCAGCTAAGGGTCCTCTTGTAACCCTTATTGACTGTTTGCAGGGAGTCTTACGTAATGATTACCAGTTATTATCAACAATTGAAGCAATTTTAATAAGCAATATGTGTACAGGCCGGATCAGCGCGCTTTAGAGGAAGGTGATGTGGAAGCAGCAGAACAGCTGAAGCATCAGCTGGAGCAGGAGCAGAGGGACCGGCGGAGGGACAATGCGCACCACGTCCCGGCGTGGTTTCGGTATTTGTTTATTTATTATTAAATTTACAAATACACTGATTCTTACTTTTTGCCCTTTTCCCATCTCCCCTCCTTCTAACGCCGCTCCCCCATCTCCCCTACCCCCATCTCCCCTCCCATCGCCCCTACCTCTATTTCCCTTCCTCCTCCATCTCCCCTCCCCGTACTCCAAAGGGAGGCACACAATGGGTGCCAACGTACTTGTTTCTCTTGAGTTCCAGGTGTCCCTGGGCAGCAGTACTCACTTATCATCCCCTCTTCTCGTTTGCCCTTTATTTTATACCATAATAAAGACTGTACCTACGAAACTAACCAGATTTGTGTTCATATAAATGTATTAACTGCACGGATGGCGTAGTGGTTTAAGCGGTCGCCACGCCGCTTCCTACTGCGCTGAGTGTTGTGGGTTCAAACCCACATGGGACGACACTTTGTGTGATTCACAAATTGTTGTTCTGAGTCTGGGTGTACTTTGTGTCCGTTTCATGTATGTTTGTAAAGTCCTCCGCGACACAGGATTTATTCCTATAGCGGGAGTTGTCTTTTTCTAATAACAATAACAAATTAACTATAGTATTTCTGTTTGTCAGTAAAACGTTGGAGAACGGCGAGGAGATGTGGGTGTTCAGCGGCGAGTACTGGAAGGCGCGCGAGGCGGGCTTCTGCGACAACCTCGCCCCCGCCATATGGTGACCGCCAATCTGTATACATGTACGTACCGCACACCGCACCCGGGGGAAAGGATCTCCCATACTCTTCAAATAAATATTTGAGATACCAAACGAGAGATACTCTTGAAATAATAATAATAATATTGTACCACATTCACACAACGCCATCTAGTCCCAAACTTAGCAGAGCTTGTACTATGGTACTAGACAACTGATATAAATACATATATTAATATTTTTTGTAAATACATACTTATTATACCTAGAAACACCCAGACCAAATCAAACATCAATTGTTGATGCACACAAATGTTTGACTTGAGCGGGAATCGAACCCGCGACCTTTGGAATAGCAGTCCGTTCACAAACCGCTACGCCATTCGGTCGTCAAAGTATTAAAGTGTTTGAGATACCAAATACAAGGTACTGTTAAAATAAGTATTTGAGATATCAAAGACAAATACAAAAAGCGTACTCCTTCCTGAAAAGCCGGCAACGCGCTTGTGACTTCTGAGCTGCAGGCGTTCATGGGCGGCGGTAGTCGCTTCCCATCAGGTGAACCGTCTGCTCGTTTATCCTCTTCCTTAAAAAAAAAGATACCAAATACGAGATACTTTTGGAAATGGTATCTTAAATACTTATCTTATAAATAGTTTTTAAAGAAAATACATTTTGATTCAAATCAAGTTTATAAAATTAAGCAAAGAAATAGATCGCATCGAAAAGTTTAATTGAGACTTTAGTTCATTTTTCTTCGTCGAGGTATCATTTTCATACCTCCAAAAGAAAGCAGTCATTAGAGGGAGAACTCTGGATACTGGTGTTATATTTGTAAAAAAGTATATTAGAAGCCCTGTATGTCCGTGTGGTGACGGATTAAGAATACAGAATGTCACCACCCCTCTTAATCCCATGGGTGTTGTAAGAGTCGACTGAGGGAGCAAACTACGCAGGACAACAGCACTGCAAAGAGAAGGAAAACTTGAAACAAACACTATACAAACTCGTCTGGCCAGCGTGGTATAATAAGCCAAAACCTCCTTTCTAAGGATGATGATGATGACAAGAAATATTTAAAGAAATAAAGTAAATTTGTATATTTTATTATTTAATATATTTTTTTTTCTCTTTCCAGCGTATACCGCAGTGCGAAGTGCTCTGTTAATCGGTTGTGTATCGCTTCCTGCTTAGCGTTTCTAGAACTTTATACTGCATAGCGCCTTCACCGTTATTTATATTGGGCCACTGTAATACTGGACAATTGTTACGGGGGTATTACATTCTACAATAATTTGTCCACCTCCATGTAAAGTTTAGAAAGTTATTTAATAAAATATTGTATCAGATCGGCTGTTGCATGCATGAGTCATTTTGATTTAGAAGTTTTAGATCTTCCAGACGTTACAGTCGTGGTTTAGCTGCGTAAAAAACTGTCGTTTCAACCTGTTTTTAATGATCACATAAGAAACATCCAATGTTTATCATTATTAAGCAAATTTAACGCGGAGGAAGGACTGCGTAATTTGGAATACTTAAAATTTATATAAAGAAGAATTTTAACCAAATTAATGCGAAACCAACATAAATGCTTGTACGACGACAGTTCAATTTATACTGGTCATAACGTCAGCAATCATCAACAGTCCACTGCTGGACATAGGCCTCTCCTTAGAAAGGAGGTATCCTCAAGGAGGTCATTACGTAAACAAAATATTTTATACCATGACCAGTGATCTCTGGTAATACTACCAGTGATCTCTGGTCTAATAACTGTCACTGTATTATTATAGAGTATATTGTTTAGAAAAATATATTTTTACATTTATTCCACATATAAACATGAAGTATTCAAAATATGATATGATTTTGTGTGCAAAAGTTGTTTAATGAGGTTACATGGAATTTTCTTTGTGAAATAATGTTATATGTAGATTATTCCTGTATAACCTGTGTCCCGTTCAATTGTCCGCGCTGAACATATGTGCATTACAATCTTAATATTGTATCAGCTAAAGATTTAATTGTTATTTAAAATGTAAATCGGTAAATTAGAAAAATGATTTGAAATCGGAAAATATTGAAATGTTTTAATTAAGAGAACTTTTGATAATGCTTTCGGGTGTGATTATTTTAGCGTTTTTAGGTCTTTTTTAGGAAAAAGAAATATATTTATGTACATATTAAAAATGAAACATTTATACTCATTTCAATATATTTCGAGACTTTATTTCTACCATCATCTCTTATACTAAATATTTTTTGGTTAATCACCAAATGTTGTCACTGTATTCCAGTGATATAATAACAGTGAAGTTATCAGAACTATGTTTCTCTACCTTCTACCATAATCATTGAATTTACTTTAATGATTTTTAAGTATTTTATTGAATACAAATGTAAATACCTGTTATAGTGAATTTTATGAATTTATTTTAATAGTTGCAAGAAATGAAATTTAATGAAATGAATTACTGGAAGTCCATGTAAAAATATGTTATAGGTTTCAGCATTTGGATTTTATTTAACATATTTAAAAAAAGTACGTTTTGAACTTGTTTTACATTTCGTGTGCAATATAAAATAAATATAATATATAAATAACAATATATACATTAAAATGGTCTATTTCTAACTGAAATGAACTCATAACATAATAAAATAACTAAAAAACTTATTTTAGAAAGCTTTTTAAAATATGTTGGCTGTGAAACGGTTCCGAAATTTAATACTTCTTTTATTATTACTAATAAATGTAGTACTAAATAGTAAACATATAACAGTAACTAAAGGAAATTAATTATTATATCACAGTACTTTGTCACAAAACCTCCACCGACTAACAACTAAATGAATAACCGACTAAAACCAAAATGAACTAAATGAAGTTTCAAGGTATTTAATTATAAAATTGTCAATTAATGGATGGAAATCAAATTGCACATAAAAGTGTAAGCACAATAATATAAAAGAAAATAAATAAAATAATGTGACTGACGAACATTAATAATAATTTATATTCTTACGGGTTTTGCGATATAAAAGACAATATTATTAATTTGGTGTGGTTTTAAGTTAGCTCAGCAAGTCAGTAGCGACAAATAAATATGCCTAACATGGAAATCTTTGGTAATAATTGTGAATTTTGCCCGAAATCTCTGAGCTGTAAGCACCAGATTTCTTCAGCAGCTTAAGATTTCTACTAACCCCTTAAACTTTCGCCTTCCTAACAGGTATGCAATACCTATTAATCAATAATATACAATATATATTAATGTGTTACGCCTTGTTTTTAACAAACTAGCTTTACAAGTGACTCCTGGCAATTCAAAAATACATACTTATCACACAGGCCAACAAAATTTGACAAAGTTTCTTTCCCAGAAACCAGAGTAAACTATCCCGAAGGATTTCAGTGCGATGAATCTAAATTCGCAGATTTGCTCTATCATGTCAGGTTTTTGAGATATTGATATGAGAGATTTGGATTTAGCGCACCTAAATCTTACTTAAAAGTATACCCTAATTTCTGGGTAAACATTTGGTTGGCCTGTGTAATTGGTTTAATTGAAAAACACGATTTCAATTTTCATTTATGTATTTGTTACTGCCCGGGAAAACGTTAACATACTTAGCACACTTAAGACGTCAATCAAGTATAAACCTTATTTCATTAAAATAAAGCTGAAAGCCGTCTGAAAATAAAACTGATGCAGCGCTGTGTAAATTGTTTCTTATTTTTAATATTTTTAGCATTTGAATAAAAGCCTTGTATAGTGTTGGCGAGATATAACTCCAATTCTAAATGGCAGTATAATGTTTTCTATGTTATCTGTGGTCTTCTTATCTGTCAGAATTGTGACATAGAGCATGCTGTGAAAACAGTGATAACCGGATATGAAATAAATAATTTTAGGTTTCCTTTTAGTTACCATACGGGTGATTTGGTTGCTTTAAACAAAAAAAAAAGTTTTGAAAGTTTTCTGGTCATGAGATGGTTTATAACGTAATATTAGTTTAGTTTTAAAAATAATCAAAATAGGTGATTATCGGTGGTTTTATACTCAGAAATTGATTTAGGAGATAAGTATGCTTAATTATTATAGAGTTAAGTGGGAATAACACGTGGCTTAGTAGTTAGCTTCTCTTGTTAACAAATCAGTTTCTTCCTAACGTTCTCGAGATAGGAGGCAATCTGGTCCTCATATATCTGTCAAGTAAGTGACGGTATTCTGTCTTGATCTTTAGCATCGACCCTAAGTGTAGAACATAATTACATTCGTTCAAGCCCTTTGATTAAAATAAATCGAATTTTGATATTGAATTATCATTATTAAAAGCCTGTTTTATCCTTTTAACATTAAATAATCTCCAATGTTAAAAATAAATCTAATATGTTACTTATCAATATTATAGGGCCAGATTTTTAGAAGGTGCCAAAATTGTACTTTCCCCTTGAATTTTTTCTTCGCATATGGGAGTTTTGTGTCCCTTGCCAACTGACATCTACCGATTGATTCATTTGCTGAACCTCAGAGGGAGCGCTGTTGATATTATACTAAAGAAAGTTAATTTGCTACAGTATCCTAATTCTGACAAATTGATCTAAATAATCATATTAAGTTCAATTTATTTATTTCATTACGTTTGGAAAACTTACAGCTAGTAAGGACAATGTGCATATTAATAATAGCTAATGACTGCCAATTTTAAGTTTTCACTTACAACTAAATAGTAACTCAACATCTAAACAACTTATAACTAAACTAACGTTATAATCGAAAAAAAAACTTAATTCTACACATCAAAAAACTGGTCACACATGATCCTTTTCATTTTAATGACACTGGTGGTGAACAGGTAGATATGTCTACATTCCGACATGCCATCCTATGCATGCGGCTGGCCCTTATTAAATCAGAATTTTCCCTGTAGTTTGTGCTTATAGAAGGAGTGAGCAGGAGGTGCGATAGTACATTCAGTGCGTTTGTTCACAAACTTTGTCAGTTAAATTCTGACAA